TATGTGTCACAATAATACCTATTTGTCGTCTACGTGGCGTGATACTTGGCGAAAAACTGTAATGCTAAGTGTCGATGTCTCGTGGCCTGGCAACGAGATCCAGCTTTATTTATTAGTGACTAATTTTGTGCCCCGGGCAATGCTCAGGTTGTTTAGGCAAATTTATATATGTGGTTGACCATATTGTGTGGCAGGGGTTACTTGAATTACTCGGTCATGGGTTACTCGAGCTACCCGATCAGGGGTTACTCGAGTTACTCGGTCAGAGGTTACTTAAGATGTTCGGTCATGTGTTACTCGAGGGGTTACTCGGTCAAAGGTTACTCGGAGGGGTTACTCGGTCATCGGTTACTTGAGATACTCGGTCAGAGGTTACTACTTACTTGGGGGTTCAGTTAGGGGTTACTCGCTCAAGAATAACTCAAGTAACCCCTGATCGAGTAACTCGAGTAACCCCGGCCACACGGGGTGGCCAGCCACATAGAAAAATCCCCCGGTTGTTTATTGAGTTTTAGGATAAACCTTTTGGCTTGAATGTTAAACACGGTCATATAATCACTTTTGATAATGCAGGATATTTAGGCATGCAATATCATACTTAAATTATTTTTACTAAACTGAAAGTATTTTTACAGATTAAAACTTATTTTTAGTAATTCTCTATTATTTTAAGTATATTATAAATGGATCTTATTGTAAAGAACTTTTTAAAACGAATTTTTTTATGAAGGAAATAGAACAGAGTAATAGGATATTTATTACTTTTGTTTATACAAAATATTAGAATTCTATCGATAACAAAACTTTATACAACAATTTTATCTTTAAAAATCTATAAAAATTGCTTACTTTTTTTGCTACGGGCAAAAATTGCTTACTTAGTATCATATGTGTCACAATAATACTTATTTTTCACCTACGTGGCGCGACACTTGGCGAAAAACTGAAATGCCAAGTATCGTTGTCTCGTGGTCTCGCTGCGAGATCGGCTTTATTTATTAGTAATATGATATAATATGATATGATATTTTGAGTTTGAGTCAAGTTTAGATAAGAGTATAGAATTCCAATCACTTTAACACTTAAGATCTAATTTCAGCAGGTCCAGGTTATAGAATGATCGAACAAGATTCTGATACATGTTAATTTGAATTGTATAAGCCTTGGACTCAAGTCGAGTTCTGATCATGAGTTTGGCGCTCAAGTCCAATTTGGATCAAAATATCTAATGAGCATGTCAAATTGCGTGTGTACTGTCTCGAATTCGGGTATACTACAAATCGAGTAAAGGACTATTTGGATCATAATATTAGTTTAGGGAAATATATATCCTCCATTAATATATATGTGGAAGGTGAGCTTGTGACTAAGCTATTGCCCCTTTCATTAATCGTTAGTTAGTAAGGTAATTGTCAACTGCATGAGTCATGCGTATGATAATCAATAGCATTGAATATGATCAATCTTATGTTATTATTATGAAGTAGATGGTCCAGGGTGGGTTTGGTATCAATTATTGTAATCAAGCTTGTCTTATTTTGTATTTAGTTATACTAATCATATGATTAAAAACAACTTAATTGTCATCAGGTCACCACTGAGGATCAAACAATTACAATAATGGAGCATGCATTGGTGATTTGGTGTGTATCGATAGCCAACAAATCATTTGCTTCCAATATTAGACTAATCTTAACAATGAAGACTAGATGATCGCGAGTTAAATATTATGGATTAAGTATTATTATTGCATAGACCAACGTCATGTTAAAAAATTAACATAAAAAAAAGACTTTGTTTGTTTTGTTGGAAAACAATTTCTTAGGCTTGTTCGTAATCGTATTTTGTTTTCAGTTTTGACTTTTGAGTTTTTTAGAAGACAAAAAACAAAAAATAGGAAACAAGAAAAAGTAATTTTTACTATCCAATTGTAAGTTTTATATATAATCATGATGTAAACAAGTCATATGAATGTTTTATTCTTAATATGTGATTTTTAAAAATGAAAAGTTGAAAACTACAATGATCCGAACAAGCCCTAAAAAATAAGTTTTTTTTTTTTCATTCTTGATTTTCCTTTATTTGTTTTGTTAAAAGGTAAAAATAATTTTCCATGGTGAAAACAACTAAAGGATAGAGGAGAAAATAGATCAATTATGAGAAAATAGATCAGTTATGAGAAAATAGAAAAGTGATGAGTATAAATGTCACATTTATACTCATCACTTCTCTATTTTCTCTCCTCTATCCTTCCCCTCCCTGTTACTCTCCTTTTTCTTTTTCTCCATAAGTTTTTCTATAATCAAACAAATAAAGGAAAACCCTTTTCACAATAATATTTTCCAATGAAAATTGTTCTCCGTAAAAAGTGAATTTCAGAAAGACTTTTTAATTAAACAAACAGGGCCTAAAAGAAAAATGCTATATGCAAGACCGTATTGAAAGTGATTATGAAATCCTAATTTTAATTAATGGGGAGAGAAGAATTAAAACAGTAAATCCTTGCTTAAAATTAAATAGGACAAAACAAATTGAACCAAATGAATAGAAAAGTGTGCGCGTAGGATGTAGGTTGTATTATCCACTAATTTGTGAATTGAATTTTGATTTTAGTAATTCATGTTTGACTTGAATTAGTATGACTTACGAAAAATACAATCATCAAATTTTGATGAAAGTGACTATAATCTCGTATTGTGTTTGCTTGTGTTATAGGAATGCTTAAGAAACAATTAACCCTTCCATTAATTTTATAATTTAACTATTTTTTTAGAAAAATGGATTGATAATTTGAGATCATAAATTGATGACCTAAACCAATCAATGTTGACCACGTGTGTTGACAATTGTCAAAGTAGAAATTCAATTAACATATGGATTTTAAGTTTGAATGCGTATTATTACTTCCATCAAAATGTCAATTTGATCACGCACCCTTGTTTGGGAAAAGGACATCTTCATCTTTCATCAATACCTCTTATCAATTTATCTATTATCTTATCACCAAAATAAAATTAATTTTTTTCCCTTTCAATGTAATGGAGATCGAATATAATCCCAACAAAAATGTTCCCTTTACTTTCGGTTAATGTTTTTCTACAAAGAGGAAGGCATCTTCCTTTATCGATTGATGGTAATTGTATAATTTAACTAGTTTGATCACTAATCACTATTATAAAATCGATTATAGCCATGCCAGCAAACTTAGTCGATAAATTCTTGGTGACGGTTTTTAAACTCTGAAATCAAATTCCGTTTACATTATATAAATTAATTATATCTTCGTGACATATTCGTGGCTTTTAGTCTCTCTATACCCCAACAAATTAAACAAAAGTAGATCTTGTAGAAAGTTTATCCTTAGCCAGCTTCTTTATTATGCGCCACTAACAAAAAATAAAGGTCCATATTTTTTTTATAGCCAAGAATATAATTTTAAAAGGATGAAAGATTTATTTGAAGTAAAGATATATAACCAGCTTTGCATTGCCTTCTTTTCCAAAGTTGTGAGTTGTAAAACATCAAACATTCGAAAGATTCTAAAATCTTTTGTATTTGCATGTTCAGATTATAAGGTCTCAAGAAGATTCTTAAATTTAGTAGCAACAACATTCACTCATAACAATTTAAATATCTTCATCATAATTTTTCGATTGGGTCACACATGGAATAATATTATTATAAACAAAGTAGTTAAAGTAAAGTACTAATGTCAATTAAACTCATAGTTGCAACAAAGAAAGCTAAATCATGATGGACTTTCACATTAGTTCTATCTTCTTTTTAAGGATTTATTAAAATATTGAGGAAAGAAAAAATGATAGATGTACACGAAAACCTAAACTAATACCGATTTCAAATTTGTTTTGAATATTAACTAACACTACTCGTGGTTTTGGCCATGCATGCTTGACAAATTGATTGTATTAGATGTTACGGAGTATATTATTAAAAAAAAAAAAAATGTTACGGAGTATAATGCATCTTATAAAATTATAATTAGTTAACTACTGAGTACTGAAGTAGTTATATCATAAAAATTGTGATTTTTTTTTTGAATCACAAACTATAGATTTATTCTTTCAAAGACAATGTTTGTCTACTTTTCTAAACATTTTGAAACTTTTGAAATAGTTTTTAACCAACTGTGGTTAGTTAAGAGCACTGATAGATCTAACAAGCACATACTTGTCATTGTTATCGTTAGGATATGAAATAATGGGAAATATATATATTTGTGTAATATTATTTCTGTAACACAATAATATATTTATGACTATTTAAATTATTAATTAATTAATATTATACATTCTAATATATCCATGAGATAAAATTTTATTATTATTGTTACAAATCCAAACAGATATCAATTCAATATCCTAACAGATATCATTAATAAAAATTATGTGTAACAAAAAAAAGTACAAGATTAAAATCAAAGTTCCAAACAGATATCAATAACAACTCTGCTTAACCAAAATTTACAAGATTGAAATCCAAGTTAAGATATATATGTATTAGAAGTCGGTTGATTATGTTAATATGATTGTATATTTGTTATGTTTTACGTTTTCTGTATTGTACTATATATATGGTTGTGAATATAATATCAATATAAGCTTAAGCCGTTTTCTCTAATCTTTTTTGAGTTTAACATTATGAAGAGTACATTAAATTTGGATAAAAAGTTATAAACTTTGAACAAATAATATTTTCATAAGCAAAATTTGACTTGTTACCCTTATAACCCAATATTCCTTAACCACATAGCAGCCGTGTAAACCCATGATTCGTAGTCATATTTAATTATACCACTACAATATGAAAGAAAAAAAAAATAATAAATAAAATTTAAAAAAAAAAAAAAAAAAGTAAATGAAAATGAAATTAATAAAAAACGCGTTTCCAAAAAAGCGTAAGCCTATTTGGAACCTTCCTTGAATAAATCTTTCCTTACCTTTTCCTAGACTTTGTTTGCCTATATATACATGTAAAATTAGTAGTCATTCCTCCCATATAAAAATTCACAAGAAGTTTTATAAACCTTGAAAACACAACAACAACAACCCAATTTTGCTTTGTGAATTGTTATCAACCAAACAGGAATTATGAGCAACACACAAACTCAACAACAACAACAAAACATGGACAACGTTCCTCCTGCTGGTATTAATTTGGGTTTTTGATGATTATTTATTGTTGTGTTGTTAATTTTAAGTTGTTGAATTGATTTTGAGTTTTGATGATGATGTTATAGGGTACCCGACTATAAGTCCTCCTGAAGGAAAGATGAAGAAGAAGGGTTGGTTCCGCACCAAAAAGAGGGGTGAGAAAGGTTTTATTGAAGGATGGTATGTCGTCCCTCTTTATTCCCGAACTTAATGAATAATACTTCCTCTATTCTTTTTTCTTTATGTTTTTGGGTTTGGCTTGGACACATAACGTGCCTTGGCAAACCCGATTGATGTACTTATTTGATTTCGGTGATTGATTCGTTAACTAGTCGGGTTTTAGAGGAAAAAAAAAAAAGAGTTTATATAGCCGGATTAACCAGACATACACAGGGAATGAAAAGGGTGTACTAAAAAAACAAAATTAATTTTCATGCAAAATTGATTATTAATTAAAGATTTATCTAAATGTTTTTTTCTATGTGTTTATATGCATTTATGAAACAATATTTAGCATATTCTTAAACAAAACAATTATTGAAAATAACATGACTTAATTTGGATTAAACTACTCTTTATTTTTAATTCAAAGAATTAATAAATTATGTATGATAAACAAAATTGTTTATATTGTTTGTTTGTTTGTTGTATGTTGTGAAAAATTGCAGTTTGGCCGGGTTATGTTGCTGTTGGATCTGTGAAGAGTGCTGCTGCTAAAAGAATCATGGATTGATAATTGATGATGATTATTATATCTATCATGTTTGTGAAATTATTGGATTCTTGAATTATGTGTAATTGATTTATGATTTGATGAACAATACCATAATGTGTAGTATATTTTTTAAAAATATACATATTTGTCATGTGAATAATAAAATTATCAGTGTTAGTTTTTGTTAATTATTCTGGTCGATCTAATGATTATTCCTTTTTTTTTGGCGTATGGATTGGTGCGCGCAGCCTTGCAGCTTTATGCTGCTGTTGGCTTTGTGAAGAGTGTTGTTAAAAAGTCTTCTCTACCCTTCAAATAAATTAAAGCTTATATTATGTTAAAAAAAAAAATAAAAAAAAGGCTTATGTTTTTAGCTTATGAGCTTGTAAAATATTTATCCATAATGTTATTTTGAGAGTTTAGCGTGAGTTTATTAGTTTCGCATTTTTTCGACCTATATATGTATACGGAACAAAATATATGAGTAGTAAAACTTTGTGTTTTTATTATCTGTATTTTTACTCAATTTATGAAATTAAAAAAAAAATATATAGTAAATGAAGAAAATGACTTAATTGAAGAAGATAAAGAGAGACAATTAATAGCTGTGGAAGGGTCTAGATCGATCTATGTAGGCGTGATGAGGACGTTATAGAAAATGCAATGTGGACCAATTTTTCAACAATGGCACAAACAATTTATTCTACTAGTCTAATCATCATTTAATTGTCCATTAATAAATCCTATTATTAGGATAACCATGAATAAAGTTGGAACTATCTTCTTGGACTTATAAGGAAATTCAAATAATGTTTGATTAAGCAACAAATACAAAATTATTTTTTTTTACACGAACAAATACAAAATTATTACTCACTCCATTTCAAAGCTAAAAAATGTACTATGTTGGGTATTGCTGTTGCTAAAAAAAAATAATAATAATAATAATAAAAATAAAAATAAAAATTGTTAGGTACTTGTTTTATTGGCTGTCTCTTAGACTCCAAGAGCTAAGTTTGACATTATCAAAAGGTAGCATATCATGTCATTGTACAATATTCTTTTCTCTTTAGTTGTAATTGAATGATTGTAATATTTGTACAAGTACAACCTATTGCAAGTCAAGAAATAGGTAATATCTGGTGTAATTATTAGAATTTGTATTCACATGAGCTTTTATGATCATATTTTACCGGTGATATTTTGAGATTGAGAATTCTCTTATTTTTCTTACACTTTCAAATGACCTTACCTGCTAAATTGAGTTATATTGGCCTTTGCGACATTCCTTCTTGATAAGGCACTTATCAAAGAAGAAGGAAAATAAATTACTTAGCCAAGGTTTAACTCAAAGTGCATAAGAATTGAACTAGGATAAATTCTAATATTAAAGTTGTTTCAACTTTAATGTGACGGACTTTAAATTAATCATCATAGATTACTAAAAGACAAAATGAGACAAATATGTAATGCTAAATATTTTTAATTTGCTTGATTGTATAATACTTAGCTGATATCGATACTCTTATTATACTAACATTCCATATATGCTAATGCAAAAATAACTTTGTAAGTACTAAAAAGCGACATTAATTAAGTTTATATGTATGCTACGTGACGCTCTCTTTCTTTTGTTGGTTCTCATTTTATCTCATCCACATACACATTAAAAAATCAAAGTTATGAAATGCACTTGACTTTGACTCATGGTCTCATGCCTTAACATTTAGAAACATATATAGCCATACATTGCAAACAAAATTAATATATGTTGACAATGTACTAATAAGTGTAAGCTAACTAAATCAAGATTCAATAATAATTTTAAGGTTCTGTTCTTTTGAGTTAATGTGGTTTACTCTGCTGAAATCTGCTAAAACTTGGTCTACTTAGTATTAATAATTTGTTGACACTTACTCTGCTTTGCCGACACCTATTTTACTCTGCTCTACTTAAATGCTCAAAAGAACATGACATTTATTAATTGTTAATCACGTTATAAATTCAATAAACATTGCCCAAACTAGTTAAAAGTTGCTCCAAAAGAGTAGTAAATACTTGAAGAAAGTTAGTAATAATTACTTGGAGACTTAATGTATAAACTTAACAAAGCACTTTTTCAAGGGTACAATTTACTCACTTATTTTTCATTTTTGGTGATTATTATTGACTTCTCCAAAAAATATAAAACTATACGATAAGCCAATGAATTATCCCAAAAGAGAACCCCACCAACTTTTAATATCTACCCCAAAATCCAAGGTATTGAATGGAAATGACTAAGAAGACAGCTAACATGAACATCTGCTCGTGTTATATTTTATGTTCCACGTGTTACCAAAACCTTGACCCAAAGATAAGCTTGTGAAGATCAGTTGCTGACTTGCTGGTCCTTTTTTAACTATCCAAAATTACTAAAGTGATTAAGTGACCATTTTATGAGCTATGTTTTTAGTCGAGACAAGTAGGCAATATGAATGTAATTATATGTATATATTCTCATATATACATTCGAGTGTATAATTACTTTAAACTAATGATTGAAATAGTCGAATGATTCGAAGTTCATGTTCCCATCTTATTCACGATATGTACAGATGTATAGTACATTATGAGAGTGATGTGGCATAACATGGATGTTGGTGAGAATAATTCGAAATTTCAAATAGTACCTTAAATGGTTTAAGGTCATACGCGGCTCAACATAAGGCACTTTGGCAAGAGTTGGAGAGTAATAAACATGACAAAGATATTGCAAGATATAGTCATGTGTTGTTGTGGCAACTTTGTAATGGATAAATAATGATGACACGAGCGCAATGAACTAATGTTGAAGGTTACATCTTATGTATTGAAGAAAGATATAGATAAACACAATTTCTCTTTTTGAGGGAAATTTAACATAGATATAGTCATAGATAAACATACACTATTTAGGTAAGCTAATATTACTGTGAGGTCTGTGACATGTTGATCATATTGTGTTGTGTTGTAGGCCCAACACTTGAATGATTTGTATACCATAAATCTTGGTAGGTTGTATTATCAAAATTTCATACTCTATATCATGTTAGCACAACCCATTACTATGACTTCTTATGAGATGGTTCAACTTCTATAAATGATTCTAGGTAGTCTACTTTAGAGACTTATGACCAAGATCAAACTATCTACCCTCACTAACTGGATCAGATCTGTAGAGAACAAGAAATGAGGTAATCTTTAGATCGGAATAACAGAGACATTCTTGACCTATTGTTCCTCGTATGACGCATGTTATGTCACCTAATCCTTCATGCTAGCCCGACATAGTGTAATTTTCACGTGAATAAGAGCAAAACCTAAAAGAAAAAGAAAAAAAAAATCCCTTTGTTATATCTAAGCAAAATTGTTTAACCAAACATGCATGCCAATACACAAATTTGACCATTAATAATTGGTATGGTTACATTCATGTTTGATTAATCACTCATTACACCAATTATTTCAAGAAACACATCATTTGTTATACTTGTTCAAGTTACACCCTGTTCAAAAATCACAAGGACTTGTAAACGAGTTATAAAAAGTCTTGTTTTGATCACAATTTTGCCATTTTTTTTAAAGAAACATATCAACTTCTCTAATTATTTATTCGTAAAATTTATAATAGAAAAAACTGATACCAATAAAGGTATACATTGTAAATAATCCAATACCATATTGTTTAATATATCATGTGTGTTTTTTTAGATATTAGTGTAAAAATCAGTTAATCTAACAATACATTACAAAGCATATATGAGTAATGTGTATTTTTTTTTTAATATATTAGTAAAAAAAGAGAATTAAAAAGCTTTTCCACATCTATTAATTATTACTAAAACAAAACATTGCTGATGTCATCGTGGTCCATATGTACTCTCATAATAAAAATTTTCCTGCATAAATGCAAGGATGATAAATGCAAGGATGATGTCATTTTTTTTTGGAGCTACCATATTTAACAATTTTGAAATTTGAATATTAGAAACTTCTACATTACAACTACAATCTATCAGTTTATCTTAAAAAAACGAAACAATTGTAAATAACACACTAATAAATGGACTCCTGCATTGAACTATGTATTAGGCAACGTTGAACATGCATCGCACGGGTTCTAACCTAATAGTAAATGTAAACAATGAAAAATAATTACTTCTTAAGTAGTAACACTAAAAAAAACGAAGGGAGTATACGGCGTAAATATTAAAAGAGTGTCTATGAGGACTATGACCCAAGCCCATCGACAAAGAAAGGAACAAAAGTTAAAAAAAAAAAAAACTGAGCCTCTCAAGTCTCAACCATTCTACTTGGTTCCAATCACCATAATCTGGTGAGCCACGTCGTGCTCCGGCGAAAATGGAAGGTGGGGTTAAAAAAGATTTGAGCAACTTGAAAACGCCTTCCACTGATGATGAATTCACTGATACTCTTCTCCAAATTCGTGCTTCCAAAACCCCTGTAATCAATCTCCTTTACTTTCCCTTTTCTTCTATTTTTCTACTTAATTTGTTTTTTGGGATAAAATTAGTCCTTAAATTAGCTTTTTAGAAGTGGGGTTTTTTTTTTAATTAATTGGAAATTCGTTGTGTCTAAAATTTCTGCTTATGTTTGATTGTAGGCAGTAATCAATTATGGTGCTTCTTGGTAAGTTTAATTTTTTTCAAGACTATATACTTCATTTTTGCATATAATTTGTTATTTGTGTATTGAATAATATAATACAATATTCTTACTTGCCTTTGATTAAATTAATTTCATTCATTTGCGAAGTTGACTTGTACTCGTATGTGATTTGGGGTGATTAAGTTTGTTGTATATGAAGTAGTATAACCCGTAGTATACAAGTTTTTGCCTTTTAAATTGGTCATTGTTATAGATTGATTAACAGTTGCTTTTGATTAAATTAACATTTGCGAAGTTGACTTGTATGTGACTTAGTATACGAAGTACTATTAACCCGTAGTATTAGTTTTTGCCATCTAAGTTGGTCGTTGTTATAGACTGATTAATAGGCTAGAAGAATTTGAAACCTAGGGAATAATTGTTGCTTTCAAGTTTACTTTGGTGACCAATAATTGATGTAGCCGACCCTACAAAGTGGGAGGCGAGTGAGCTTTGGTATCTTGATGCAATGAACTATGTTTGGAGTATTGGACTTGTTGGTCAAATTGAACTATTTAAGATACCATTTTCTAGGTTGGATTTGGTGTAACTAATTAGCTTCTCATTACGAGTACTCTTGTTTAGGTAATTTACGAGTAAAATTGAATGAAAGAAAGTGATTTCTGAGAATAATATGAGCAATAATTTGACTTGAAGTTGGATAATTTGCAGTTTACATATGGATTTGGATGTGTCATTCGTGGTGCATTCCTTGAACTCCTTGAGACTCATTTCAATAATTTGAAGTAGTGTTTGAATGTCTTAATTTGCTTTTTTTTTTTTTTATATTATGTTTACAATTATAACTTCAAGCTGTTTGTAGCATCATATGCTTTCGGTATGTTTGCAGTCTTGTGAACTTTTCCTGTCAACGTAAACTCTACATGGTCTACTCATTGGATGATCATTTGTGTGAGGTTAACCGGTTTACTGTTAAGAGCATGTTTGGTAAGGGTATGTTTAGGGTTGGAAACGGATTCAATTAAAGCATTACCATTACCAAGAGTTTGGTTAGAAGGTTTAGGTAACAATTACCATTACGGGTAATGGTTTCCACTCATTTGTTACCTCTCTAAAAGCTAAGGTAACAAATATCTTTACCCTCAAACAAAAATAAAGAGAGTTAGGTTTAAGTGATTCCTTTCCATGTTTAAACCAAACAAATGAAAAGGTAACTGTTAAATGATTCCTTTTCTTCTCCTTATTTATTTCCTTTCCACTCCATTTCCAATTTTCATGCCAAACGCCCCCTAAGACACTTTAGAGTAAACTCTATTGATGAATCTTTTTCAGGTGCCGAGTTTGCAATCAGATCCTGCCTGCATTTCAGAAGTTCAGCAAAGAGTTCCCAAAGCTTTCCTTTGTTTATGCGGATATAGATGAGTGCCCTGAGACCACTCAACAGATACGCTACACTCCTACATTTCAGTTCTACCGCGATGGTGAGAGGGTTGACGAGATGTTTGGAGCTGGAGAAGAACGGCTTCGTGACCGTCTTTGGTTGCATTCTTGATTTTAGTTTCCCCCTCTACTATACCTGTGGGACTGTGGCAAAGGACAAGCCTAATTCTGTAACCATGTATTAGCCAAAAAATCAGCTTTCTTGGAAAATTTGAGAAGCATGTAAATGTAGTTGGATATATATTATTTACCCTGATCTTGCTTTACACATTTAAACACCTGTATTTTTTTTTTTTAGTTGTTACTGATAACTCATAGCTTGGATGGATCATTGACTAATTGATCTCATATTTGACTGATTGAGGATATCTATTCTGATATGGAAGTTGTGAAACACTGAAATTACTTGACAACTCGGCAAATTACAGATACACACCTACAATAAAACTGTCTACCATTATCACAGTGAACTAGTGGTACTCCATGAACCAGTAATTTCTTATATGAATGACGCATTAGTTTTAAGACTTGGAGCAGGGGAAGGTATCTGGTTTCACTGGCTATCATTTAGCCCGACAAAAAATAAATCGAGACTTGGACTTCTAAGCCTGTCTAGCTGGTTAAGGAAATATAATCAGACTTTTACAATTGACTTCTATAGCCAGCTAGTTTGCTTCATTGCAGGATGCTTCGATATTTGACTTGCTCCAGCTTCTCTCTTATTTTCTTGTCAGAATCAGACCCAAATTAGTAAAATCCTTCAATAAGTCTTGTATAAGGCAGGTGTACATTAAATTTATTGTAAGACGGTCAGTTTGAGGGTAACTTTAACTACTTTAATGGTAATTTTAACCCCTTAAAAGATAACTTTTAATTTGTCGTTGGTTTGAATTTTGTTTTAATGTGTAATTTCTTATATATTCATGATTACATACTATAAAGGCTAATATAATTAATCTAATACGTCATAAGTTTTTTGTAAAATAAAATTTATTATTAGAAAAAAAAAACTTTTGTAGTATAAAGGGTAACTTTAAATACTTTTAAGATAACTTTAACCCATCTTACAATAAATTAACGTACACCCGCCTATTTGGAAAATTTGGGAAAATCCTTTACAAAAGGACTCCGCGATATTGTTGTAGATATTTTACAGAATCATATTGCCCCAGAGGCCTGAGCTCCAGCTTCAGGTTCTCGTTGTAGCCCAGGCCAGCATTGGCTGATTAGTGATCTGCACAAAGCCATCCCAGCTGATTGATGTTCAGAGTCAGCAAGGGTCCTGCTCAATGAACATCAAACATGAAGCTGCAGAGTCTGAGGTGCTGATGATCTTGAAAGAAACATAATCTCAACATTACTTCTTAAGAAAATAAAAACGAAGTATAATCAAACACTATGATCTCCGTGAAAAAGATGAAGCAATCTTTACAGAACATCATAAGGATCGAGTCGATGGACACATAAATTTAGTTCGTGGTGCAGTAAACTTCTTGGTGATGATGGCGCACAACTTGCGTAAAAAAGGTTCATCTAGATGAATCTGTGTTTTCCCTAGTCTTGAAAGCACTGGTTTATTGGACGGTAGAAACTTAAAAAAACATTGATCATTACAATTCATGTTAGCATTTATTAGTTTATATTAGAAAGCACATTAGAGACCCTGCTGAGATATCTAGTGGTTGATTAAGCAAATATATAGTCACGCGAGAAGCCTTAGGCAGTTAGGCTGCAATCTACACTTGATCCACCCAGAGAGAAGCCTTAGGCAGCAATATACACTTGATCCACCCAACCCACGTTGACATCAAGAAGTCTGCTGAAAACACTGAGGAAATCAGTGATAATGCAATATCTGACATAGATCTCCAGCAGGTTATATCTGCAGATAGCTGATATAATTCCTTTTTTCAGAGAAGTTCTTGAAAGGGTAACTGGTGACATTCATTTTGTTTTCTGCTCCCATTTCCTACAGGTTTCTGTTCATTATATGCGTCGTTTGCTCTGTTGGAAAATTGACTCAGGAACTACAAGTTTCTCTCTTTTTTTTTTGCCCCTCTTTTGTTAAGTGTTTCTTCTGGAATGTAAAATAATGTAATAATGAGAAGATTTAGAACAGGATGTGTAACTGAGCATAAGGATGCCACCACCTTTGAAAGGACTTTTATTATATAATTAAATGTAGATATAAAAGATTATGAAATGACTGTTACATTCACATGTCAAAATCCATTAACTACCTTTCTATGTTATACATGTTAAAAGAGAAAGGCATCTTTTGACGAGCAAAAGATTAAACTTAAGAGAGGGGGTGATCTAATCAAACCAAAAATTGAGAGTTTGGACATCAAATAATTCACATTTTGGTATAGGAACAAACCGACATGATTGGTGTATGCTGAATGCTTTTCATACATCTTCTGACAACGGGAAGAGCTTCTCAAGCATGTTATTAGACAGGATCCTGTTTGGGTCTAATTCCTTCCGTGCTTTGTTGTATGCATCCACAGGGAAATGCTTCTTTAACCTTGCTTGCAAATCCGGGAGCTCTTCCTTGTTCTTTGGAATCTAAGAATCACACAAATGATCACAAGTAAATGCTTATTCTCTGATGGATCATAGAATTCTTCAGAAGTTTTGATTATGGAGAATATGAGATCAAGAAACTTTTCACTAGACAAGGGTAAATACCTCAATCTTTGCCCAATGTTCATAAGCAGAGTAAGGATCCCACAGCTGATTTTGTGTCAAAGATCTGTAGTGAAAGAATTCGTCTGTTATTAGCTTCCTCTGGCGAGGATCCATCGTTGGGAGGTACATAATGATACCAACCTGAAAAACAGGTCAAAATGTTTAGAACTGAATTCTGAATAAGAAAATATAACTTACATTTCCATGCTGCCTTACACTATACATCTCCGTCCAACTAAAATGAAATCCCAAAGAAACTTAATTACTCCCGCCATTCCCATCTAAGTGATTAGCAAGGTTATGCACACAACTTAAGAACTATTTATTGCATTATGAAAGGTGACAGGTATTGCACTGGTACATAGGTACATTACATGGACAGATAATAGTGTATTGGTTTTCTAAAAGGGCAAAGTTGCCTGAGAAAGTAAATGGAGGGACTACTCGATTGTTCTGCATGCTATTCTTTGGTTCTAGGTGTAATGCTACTTTAACCTTCAAAACACATCCTCTCCATCCCCTTCGTTCTCCCATTTAGTAGTCTGTGCTGGGAAAACATAGAGATGTAATGGTTCAGCTTGCAAAATACATCAATAAAGGCTCCAAAAAGGTCTATTAAACAAGTGAAATTAGCTATGTCAATCAAATAGATATCGTGCATTCAACTTCAACAATGACTTCATACGTTTCAGAAGAATTTCTCTGATGATTTCTAAAAAGTGTCTGAATCTATAAACTTTGAGAATCAAATTTCAATATAAGCCTTTAATGTTTATGATAAGCATTTCCAGATCATCAAAAATGTAATTAAGCAAAACGCAATCAGAAAAAATTAAACAAAAATAACAACCCAAAGAGATTACCCAAGAAAATATATCATCATCTGATGAGCTTGATGCCTGACTCATAGGACTCTTACTCCTAGCTGTCCATCGTTGTTCTATTGGAGAGGGTGCAGGAATTCCTTCCCTTTCTATCAGCTGCTTCAGTTTCTCAACGTACTCAAGGTCCTTCATGTTAGGCTTTGCAAGGGTTCCAGCAGGGAAACATGTTTCTGAGACCCACTGCTGACCACCACAATCAAAACCTAAGATTTCATCACTCCAGCCCACTCTATAACCCTCTGATTTCCTCCAGAATTCAGCTTCAGCTTGATTCACTTTAATGATATGCTCTTCATCCACAGGATCTAACGCAATAAGTCTGTCTCTAAGCTCCGTAAATGAAAGCTCATTTATGTCTGGATCATTCTCTGCAGGAGTTACTCTGCAGAAACCATGACTTCATGAGAGCTGTTGCATTGTTTTAAACAAACATTACCAACAGAATGCAATGAACTGATGGAAGGGGGTAGGGGCATATAGGAAGTGCAATATAATTCAGTTTGTAGTGTCTTGAGGAGGAAGATAAGGGAGTGATTTAGAGGAGCAATACTATATATAAGAGAAGATTAGAAAGGGATTAGCATGTTGAATATTGATCAAAGTTTTTGGGTTAGCTTAGAAATATAAATTCGGAGAGAATCACCTCTCAAAAGTGGATTGTATCATTTACTTGGCTGTATTTCCAGTTTATAATCAATCAAACTCCACAGCCTTGCTTAATAATGCATCGCTAAATTCAGACCATAGTTATGCTAAATTGCTAACAAAGATGTAGGTGTCCATAGTTTTAAGTTTTGCCGGCTTAAAACTTTGACGTGAAAATATACAATTAGAAGGAATCAAAAGCTGCAATATGTATGATAGACATACCAAGCCATAAAATAACAGCTAAAATTAGTTTATGAGCAGAAAATGCACAGACAGAATATAAGATGAATAACTTTTGAATATAAGATGAATAACTTTTGGATTCGATTTGCACAGATTGTCTCATTCATCATAACAGAAACTAACATTATTTTTCATATCCTGACAGCAAGGCAAACAAGAGAGACAACTTCCTGAGATTTGGTAATCTGATAGCATCAAACAAGGCACTTAATATAGCTTCTTATCTAAGTAAATTTGAAATGACAAGAGTTTAGGTTGCCACCTTCTAATATATTACAGTACTATGCATATAAGAAAAAATACCTATAATTCTCCAATGAATTCTTGTACAGATCTCGTACATGCTGAAGCGCTTCATCTTTAGTATATTTAGGTTTGAAATTCTTTGAAAGTCTCCACTTTGATACAGGATTGCACGTCACAACAACAACAGCATCCGTGTATGGGATATACAGGTACTTTACATGCTTATTTTCAGAGATTAGTTTCCTGCAATGGGAAGCAAATACAAGTTTATTTCTAGTGAATGATAACATTATAGTCACTATTACAAGTATTACTTCTAGAACATGTCATAGACATAACAAAGTAAGCAAATAATATTTTTCTAAACTTTACATCTACAGCCAAAGCGAGCACTACCATAAGAAAGAGGTTGAAACTTGAAACCAATCTTCATTTCACCTCAAGTATCCATGTCGGACCTTCGAAACTTGGACATGGGTATGACACTTGGACACTTCACTTTTGGTTCAAAACCATGGATTTTTTTCAAAAAATAGCCGAGTCGGACGTTTTGACACATACTCGTGTCGGACATGGGTATCTGAGTCCATGTAACATAGATCATATACATCACTGCAGTTCATTGGTCAAGGTTTGTGTCTGCTCATATCTGTCCTTCCCATATCTAGCTTTGGTAATGTAAAAAACTTATTGTTTCTAGGAACACCCCTTAGAGGCGTTTTTGGATGCTCTTAAAGTTTAAATGTCCACACACATAGAAAAATAGCTAACAGTTTCACTATAGGGACCCCTGCAAGTCTACAACTTATTTATTGTAACAAATCAATAATGCCTTTTAGGATGATGGAAAGGCAGAAATAAACGAATCTATAAGCAGTAAAGTATGTTTCAGGTTGAGACTTGAGAAGCAACTTCATAGGAAATGGCAACATCACTAACATGAATAAAAGAAGACACATTCACATGAACCCTTTGGTAAACAACACTAGGGTAGTAATTAGATACACAAAGTACATTCTTATAAGAATTTGCCATCAACACGTAAGAGAGAGAGGAAATGGGGAGAAAGAAGATTTTAAATGATTATAAAGAAAATGATCAAGGATTTTTCTTTAGTGCAGTTGCAATAAATAAATAAATTTTTCAATGATCTACGAAAAGTTACTTGTGATTTTTCTTTATCTCATCCATATTAGAGATGTAGGTGTGCTCCACAAGCTCCTGCCTATCAACACACTGAAGGGTGACTTCAGCTACTACTCCGAGTCCTCCAAGACCAACACGAGCAAGATAAAACAGCTCCGGATCTTTCTCTTTTGAGAGCTCTATAATTCCCTTGGCAGGAGTGACCAGTTTCATGGCAATAACTTGTTCATCAATAGGTGGCAATTTTGCACCAGTACCATGTGCACCAACCTATAACCACTTAGGTGTTAGAAAGTAGAAACAAAGCTAGTTAGGAGGGGAATGCTTACACTAAATCATATGGTGTTTAAATTTTATATATTCTGCAAAAGACACTGATGAGATGAAGCAAACCTAGAGCACCTCAATTTTTTCAAATAAATAAATAAATAATAAAAAAAATCACTATGATGTCCCCCACCCCTTGTATTCCAGAATTTTCTATATCCGTAAACCTGAAAACAGACCATTTCTTTGCCTTGCGTTTCACAATGACAGAAAATACATGAAAACACCCTTATTAAGCAAGAGCAGTACTGAGCAAGAACAAGACATCAGCTAGATGAAGAGGATATACACATTTCACATCATGAGACAGAAACATTGTCCAATAATTTACAGCCTCCTAACAGCCAAACATGTCATAGTTTCCATCTTGGTTTCTCTCTTCTTATTGTCTCCTTTCTTCAAGGAATGCATATTCACCCAATGTTTTTTTCTTATTCCCTTCATACATTTACACTATTAGTTAGATCCTAGTACTAAATATGCTCCTTAGTCCTTTTTATGTGTCATAAGACAAATATCACAAGTTCACAACTAGGGTTTGATGGAAAGCATATAAACTATAAAGGCGAGTGTAGATTGGTATGAAATAGGTATAATAAGTACACGGTCATCGTTAAACATCATGTACATAAATTTGAAGATATATACGGGCATTTACTTTCAATGCCAAGACTGGAGGTAGCTTCATAGAATCATACAGTCATAAAAACGGTTGAGCTCGAGAAATAAGTCCTTGTTTTGCCACATTCTATTACTGATCAGATAGATATTCTCCTTTTCCAAAACACAAATGTTAACAATGCTAAATTCACAAAATTTGCCAATGTAGTAGCAATTAGAACCAAACACTTTAAGCTTTCATGCACATAATCCAATAATGTATTCCCTGGCTCCACTCGTAGCTTCAACTTCTTTCCCCTACACACCTTAAGCTATTTATTGAGACGATGCCAACAAGTACCCACAAGACTATATTTATTCTTATGTATAAACACAAACATTAGTCAAAGTGAATTAGATGAATAGTGCAAAAAGTCAAAACGTTTCATTTATTTAAACAAGGAGAGAGTATTAATAAAAAAAAAAAAAAAAAAAAAAAAAAACACCAGTAAAGTTCAAACTTGCTCCTAGAGTTCCTCTAGAGATTTGTATTACAGTTTGCCTGCAAAACCTTCTGCTAAGTCAATAAGTCATAGTTTCATCACCTTAGAGCATATGCCTTTCAACTAATTCCTAGATGGTATTGTTAGGAAAACGGAATAGAGTCTCCACTAATCTCACAAGCACATTTAAAAATAAATTCATACATCACCCAATACTTATGATCAAAACCCGTCTACATCATCGCCCTTCGAGACTGTCTAGTCTCTCTACACACCAAACCCAAATGAGGAAACAAACAGAATTGAAATCAAACAAACCCAAACATTCAAACCTAGCAACAATACAACAAAATCAATTGACATTCAAAAAATTAATTAATCAATCAATCAAAAGAAAGAAAAAAAAACCTGAAGAATGCCACCAATCTGCTGCTCCCTAATAGAAGCAAAATTCTGCAAAGTAAGCCCAAAATCCTTAATCTGATCAACAAGCTGCTGAACTCTAATCCCAGCTTCAACTCTAACAGTCTTCTTCTCTTTATCAACTTCAATCACCTTATCCAACAAACCCAAATTCACCATCCCAGCCCGAGAAAGCCCAACCCCATTTGGGGAAAGACCCGACCCAACAGGCCGAATCTTCTGGGACTTTTGATGGGCTTCATTGACAAGCTTTTCAAGGTCCGAAATCGATTCGGGTTGAAGGAAATTACGGGTATGAACTTCATGGGTACCACTCCAATTAGAGACGGTATGAAGATCATCAGGAAGAGGGGCGTATTTGAAGAGTTGGGCTTTTTTGTGCTTGGCATTTTCAGGCAAAGGGAAGGAGTAGTAAGTTCCGACGCCGCAGCCGAGGAGGAGGAGAGCGTAGCCGATGTATTTGCGGGTTTCGGCGGCGGAGGAAGAGGAGGTTTGGTCGGAGGAGAGAGAAGAGAAATGGCGAAGGGTTAAGGAGGAGAGAGAATTTGTGGGGTTGGCGTTGTGCCGGTGAAAGTGGTGGTGGTGGTGGCGGAGAAGGTTGGAAATTGATCGCCGGAGATTGGTTGCTCGGTGCATATTGGTGGTGAAGATGAGACAAGTAGACCACTACAATTGAGTGTTGACAACTTTGACACAAATTGTGAAGGTTAAAAATGTAGTTTTGGGGATTTTGGCAAATTTGATTTTTGATGGTTTTTGTTTTATGAGAAGGGCCCGATCGGATATCAAGACTCATGGTTTTCTTGGTTTAGTATTTGTGGGCCGAATATTTGAGAATGCAACCTTTTGTTGTGATAATATGGGTATAAAGGTGAATTGCTAGTCTTACAACAAGACTGGTTTGGTTTTGTAGAAGTGAAAATGTGAATTGCTAAATGGAAAAGAGATGTAGTGGTAGTTTCAATAATTTTTAATTGGTATTAATAATAGTATTATCTATTAACGAGTTATTGATTATAAAATTCCTAAAATAATATGTATTGGACTATTGGGCATATAATTGCCCCCATTTCTCATAACCTATTGTGCTACTATGTGTGTAAAATTCTTTTATTCCAAAAAAAAAAGGAGTGTAAATCCTCTATGCATCCTAAAAGCTTTAAAGGACAATATAAATATGATAAAAAAAAAACCAAAAAAAAAAAAACATGTTTGTGTGTTACACCCAAATCAAAATTTTGTTGATTTTGATCTATTAAGAGACGTTTGACCAAAGTTTGACTTAATTAAGGGTGGTCTGATCCGTTAATACTAAGTTATATCTAGCTCTATGTTTATGAATACCATCAGAGGCTTGACTAGTGTAATGCATATGCCAACTAAAGGCTCATAATCTGGAAAGAGCGCGGCCTGTTTTCAGTTAGAGTTATTTTAAAAAGAAGCTTTGGCAGCAAGAGTTGGAAACCGACTAGCGGTTGAAGGAAGACCAAGATCAAATTTCTAAGGGATTTTGGCCTATATATAGATGATGAATCACAGAAGAAAAGACATCAACGAATCAACCAACAAAAGCATGCATTTCATTTAATCTTTTTACGCTTTCTTAGTTTTTCCTTGGCTTAGTAGTCAAGCAATAGTTTAGGATTTACTTAGCATGTATTAAAGATCGTTTGATCATTCCAATTTTATGAACATGGAGGTAATCTTCTCCTCTTGTGGTATAATTGTAGCCCTGACTTTATCTTTCAATTAATTAAAAACATCTGCATCCTTTATCTATTTTAATTTGTTCGTTTCTTTGGTAATTCAATTCTTGTTTAACTTTTTCAAGGTATACATCTTTACTTGTTTGTTGTCGTTATGTTAGCGATGTTATCAAAGTATAATCAATAACAGTAGGGACAACCCCTTAATATTCAAGAATAAAATAGGGTATTTGATACAAGTATGTTGGTAAAGAACAATATTTACCTCAACATTGTGTTTATAATATATAGCATTAGGTTTATGTGAAAGAAATTTAGGTTTGACATGTCAAATAAAATGGATAGATAGTTGATTAGAGGTGTCAATTCAGGTGTCTGAGTCGAGTTTGATGAAGTCGGGTTTGATCAGGTCGGATCTATTTTAAAATTAGATTTATGCTAAATTATTATGTCTAAACAAGTCTATATTTGAATTTAGTTTTCTTTCGAGTCATTTTCAAGTTGGGTCAGCCGGGTAGGTTTTTGACACCTCTATATAACTTTATTTGTACTTATATTTGCTAACAATCTTGAAATTAAATGTGTTCACTTATGACAAATGACATTGTTATTCACAAAAGAATTGAAAGATAAAGGAGGGCTAATTGGTAAATTCACTTAATTTTTGTGATTTTTTATTGCTACAGTGGTATTTTTAATGTACTATAATATTTACAGCGGTATTTTTAATGTACTATTATACATGTATTTTATACTAATAGAATATAAGTTGTTTTAGTAGTACTATTTATAGCCATTATAGGTAACAGTGGTACAATATTTGTACCATTAGAAGAAAAAAAAATCACCAATCTTTTGTCTTATAGTTGTAATTTACTTGCCATGTAAATAGCAGGTATGCGCCAATATTTAACCATAAAGAGAGTGGTGTAGTAGTTTATATGGTCAATTGATATGTTGAACAATGAAGGATTAAATTTGTTTAGTTCTTAAATTAGATTAGATGTGGTTCTTGAAATTGTCGCTCTAAAAGACCCCTATAATTTAAGGGCAGCATCTCAAATGGAAATTTTGGGGGAACATGAAATTTTGGGGGAACACTATAATCTCCCTTTTTAATGTGAGACAAATAGGTATTAAGTCACAATATGTGACTGTCTTTGCACATTTTAACCTTGACAATGTCTTCTTACTAAACCTTTTACATTCAATCCATGCGTGAAGTTTTTTGGTTACCCTTACTATGTTTAGAAGTTTGAATTCAATATTAAGTATTAGTAAAAAAACTTATGTAAAAATTATGAGTATTTTTTAAAATTATTTTTATTCAATACTAACATTTTTCATCCTATAAAACATCTATTTATTCTTAAAAAAAATATCTTAATTTCACTTATTTGGTATTATATATGACATCCTTATGTTTAAGTACGTGACACTTGTTGAAAAGCTAGATTAACGATTGTCACCGTCTCGTGGTGGGGTTGTAAATATATTATTGTATCAATGTTTGAAAAAAAAAACAAGTGATGGGGTTGTAAATAATATATTATATTCATCTAATCGATAATTTTACTTGTCTTTAGCATTTTGAGGAGGTGATTGAGATGAATCACACAAGCAATTGGTAGATTAACTAATTGATTTTTTTTTCTGTTGTCTCTGAAATCATGAGTTTTATACATAGTATATCCTAATTCAAGACTTAATATTCATCGCACTTAAAATACTTTGTTTTTATTATGTCATTCCTTAATCAAATAACATTTTACATACTTTAATCTCTCTAAAGTCTAATCTTGATACAAATTAGGTGATTATCAATAAAGCAAATTAGCAACAAAGTTAAAATAAAACATGAAACAAAATATTTAGGAGAATTCAAATAATCTATTATATTTACATTATTATTCGATATGCTAGCAAAATGTATCAAACTTTCAAAAATAAAAAAACTAGTCTACACAACCGAACAAATTAAAACCCTTATTGAGAGTAGAAAGCAAACCATAATGTTATTGGAATTAAATCTAACAACTAGCTTACTTAATTTACGTTCATACTCTTTGAACCGCTTGATCTTCATCTACTTGATCCTCCCCATCAAATGTAGTCTGACGTTCCAATCTATGGCTAGCTTCTAAGAAAGTAGCAGGTTTGTACCACTTAGCAAACAGCACATATATGACAGCATCAATAGCCGTAAGCGTCATAATAAGGAAATAAAACCTTTCGACATGACCGTGATTAAAATTGGAGGGTATCCAACCGGGACTGCCACCTCTCGCAGTGATTAGCATTACCATGTGAACTAACAGGCTACTAACATAATTTCCAAAAGACATGGAAGCCATGCAAAGCGAGCTTCCAAAAGATTTGATCCCATCAGGAGCTTGTCCGTTAAAGAACTCGAGTTGGCCGACATACATAAAAACTTCCGAGGCACCCACAAGAACATATTGTGGGATTTGCCATAACACGCTCAAAGTGCTCTTTTCCTGATGAGGTACAACTCTCTTAAGACGCTCGATTTCCGTGACTCCAGCAGCTACCATAGCTAGCATACCAATGATTAGTCCGACTCCCATTCTTTGGAGCTCAGTCAATCCTTTGGGGTTCCCACTTAATTTTCCGAATACGGGGACGAGGATATGGCGATATATGCCTGTACAAATGAGAACGCTACAAATGTCGAATACAGACATGCTTGCTGCTGGGAGGTGGAAATTGCCTATTTTTGTGTCCATCACATCGCCTTGCTCGACAAAGAGGGAAGCCATTTGAGTGAAGATAACTGAGTAGATGATGGTGCAAAGCCAAAGAGGGAGGAGTTTCAGGACACATTTTGCTTCCTCAACTTGTGTGACCGTACAAATGTGCCATGCGTTTTTTGGTTCGGATGTATCTTCACGAGTTATTATTGCCGCCTTATCTAAAAACCTGTCATTAGGGTATAAAATTAATCTCTTTTATGAAATACCAAAATAAAGAATTTTTTTATGTTGTTATTTATAACCACTAAAAATGCATAAAATATATATTATTTGTGTAATTCCGATTAATTAAACATAGCTAACTAGTCATATCTCAAGTGTACCAAGTAGGAGTATGACTACATGATCCTTAATAAGTAACCCCTGACCAAACAAGTAACCCCATAATAAGTAACCCCTACAAGTAACCGTTGACCAAACAAATAATCCCCTACAAGTAACCCCTGACCAAACGATTAACTTCCTATAAGTAACCCCTGACCAAATGAGTAACCTCCTACGAGTAACCTCGACCACTTATAAAAAAAATTGTGTTCTTTTTTATGACAAGTATGAATTTTTTAAATAGAAAACACTTGTTATTTTACTATTAATTAATAAGAATTTTATACAAAAATTGGCCCATAAGTATGAAGTCTAATCTAATAGCCTCTTGTGCTTTTTTTTACAAAATTCTTTTTTTAAAATTAACTTCTCGGTCATCTACACATCACCAACCTTAAACATATTTATCCAAATTCTACAAAGGTAAGAGAGCTTGTATGTTTACCCAAAATATTCAGAGTGAACAATCTTCCTGGTTCCTTTGATGGCGGACTCAGAACCTCCAACTTCATAGAGCTCATTTGGATTAGAAACTTTGATATTACACTTCCTATAGGCAGCAACAAACACTTGAGCAACGCGCGGCAAAGGGTTGCCGCACGCTTTAATGAACCGATAGCCTGGTGTTCCGACCACGAAAAGAATTACTCCCAAAAGAGCAGCAGCAAATGATACCCAAAATCCAAGAGTCCAATACCCATTATCCTCATAATACACCAAAACAGTATTGGAAAACAATGAGCCACAATTTAGTGCAAAATAGAAATAGCAAAAGAATGCTGCTTTAGAAGATTCTCCTTTTGGGTCAGAGTCATCAAATTGGTCTGCCCCAAATGTTGCACATGTTGGTTGATGTCCTCCGTACCCCAATGCAACCATATAAATTGATATGTAGAATATTATTTCACCAATTACGGATGTTTCATGACACACCAATTTACCATCACCACAACCTTTTGGATCCAACAAGAATAGCCATGATGTCAATGAAAGTAGCACCAACCCCTAATAAGAAGAATAATACAAAAACATGATTTGCATGTCATTAGATTAAGTAACTAACTATATTTAATTTACATTTTTTTTTCATGTAAAGAGAGCCGCAAAGGCAATGATGTAGACAGGATTTGATCTCAAGTCTTGGGTATCACCCCTTAAGACTTTAACTAACTAAACAAGTTGATATCCACACTAATACACTACACTCAATTTATTTATTTCTAGCTAATCTCTAAATCTATACTTATGCATGCACCTGTATATATTAATATATATACGCTAATTAAGATGATTGGTATTCTTGAATTGCAAAATAGATGACCTTGAAATTTTAGTGATTCATATAACTTGGACTTCTAAGAATTTCAATTTAAGCAAGCATTAAGATTACTATCTAATTTGATTAAAAACGATGATTAGTTCATAATTAAAAAAAATGCAAGATTAGGAAATTATAATGTAGAAAGAATAGTAGCATACCAAGAGAAGAATTAGTTGAAAAACCGTGCAAGTGAGGAAACGACCCCAATACGAGTCACTAAGAAAGGCTCCAACAAGTGAGAATAAGTAAACAGTGCCAGTCCACACACTAACATTATTGGCAGCAACAGCATTCTCTTGTCGTAGTACTCTTGTTAAGAACAATACCAAGTTCACACCAACCCCAAAGAATGCTAGTGTTGCTAATGCTTGGTTTGCTGCATACAAAAAAATATATATATCAATTACACGAGTATCGATAAATGTTTGTATAAATGTAGGTCATACAAAGATATATATTTCCTCTGTTCCCTATAATCAGTGAAGATACACAAAGTGAGAAAATAAATACCTAAAACTAGAATTGCCGATTTCCATCCTCCTCTTTTCTTCTTGAAGGAAGGTGCAACTACATTTGGTGGACTAATAGGAGTAGCATTTTCCCTTGAATTGTTGCCATCACCATCGTTGTTAATACAATTTTTAAATTCATTGTCTGCATCTTCGCGATGTTGAATTAGGTCTTCACTTCTCTGTTTGAAAGGTTAAAATACACATTAAAAAAAAAAAAAAAAAAAACCTTGTATTAGTTTTCATAGTTAAAAAAAATGTTATATATGCAACGGGGAATTCTCTGTTCCTCATTGTGAGGAACATGTTTTATTCCTCATGGGTATGTGTCAAAATATGAGAGTTACACTCATTATACATAAGCGGTCCCCACAAGTGAAAAATATCGTATTATTTTCCAAAATGTCATAATGAGGAACTGGGGCTCCCTCATATGCAACTACAATGATAAATGAGAAAATCATTGATGAGTTGCAACGTGACATGTATATACATCCCAAAATTTCCCCACATTGAGAAAATTTACAACTACAGTAATGCCTAAGCTCTCTGGACCATTGTATAGTCGAAAATTGAAACTACTAACCTTTTCAGCCATTTCATGGATGTGGCTGGGGGAACTTGTTCGTGCCATTTGAAATTAATCCTGTCAACAATAATAGCAGACTAGTAAATTAAGTCGTTAACTAATGTTTCACAACTTACATGCAAGCATTAAGGTAAGTAAAAATCTATTATTAGAAAGCAAAAGTATATGCCTTTTAGATCCTAAAATATGACCGAAAGTTATGACTAAACCTAGCAAATTAGTTAACGACTTATACTTGGTATAAGTCTAGATCCTAAAATAAATAATCTAGAACTTATACTTGGTATAAATCTAGAACTTATACTTTGTATAATCTAAATTTGTATATATATCATATTCATATTAATGATCTTACTTTAGAATCCTACATTTTATTTATATGAGAAAACACGTGTGTTTGAGATATAAAAAAATAAAAAATAAAATTATTATAAAATTTGTTCAATATAAAAAAGTTAGTCTAATTTAGCTCGTCACATATTGACACATACATACATATAATGCATATAACATTTTCATTTAAAAAGGTAGCTAAAACAAAATTGACCAACTTTTTTTTTAATACAAAATGTATATATAAAACAACTAAATCATAGATAGTCATAAAAATAACAAAAAAACTAAATAAAAATGGAGGGAGTACCTTTTTTACTTGACTTTGTTAGCGCAAACGGAAACTCGAGTAATCCCGTTAGTGAAGAAAAAACACTCTGGTGATGGAGATGATAATAATTTCAATTGAAAACAAACTTGCTTGAATTTAATCACCCCTACTAATATCCTCAATGCAATCACTCCACCAGCTTCTATTCCACTATGAACAGACCCAATAAATCCTATTGTCATTTATGGGTACACCTTTTATTTTTATTTTTTCCCTTACAAATCCAATCACTAGGCAAAATTAATATCAAGAAATATCTCTTTTAAAATATTCTACGATTTGTTGGATAACTTTTACAAAAAAAAAAAGGGAGTTTTTTTTGTTTTGTTTGATATAATTTTTGTAAATTATGAATTAATTTTGTTATATTTATAGAGCTAGTTTCCTACTTTGTATAACAAACTCTCCTAAGATATATACTCCCAAATTTTTTTCTGACTAAGTTTTAGCTAAAAGAAAGAATCAAATGTTGTGTCGGTGCTTAATTATTTTTTGGTGGCTCTAAAAAAAAGTAATTCAATCCTTTTATCATCAATAATAATATATAAATATTTTGGATATAACTTCTATTTTTAGAATGTTACTAGTGAGTTTGTGTGGCAAGGAAGTCACACTTGTTTCATTTACTCCGTACTTATAACTAACTTGAAAATTTTGGATAATTTTCTAAATTAAGCATGTCCACGTGAAATTATCTGGATTCATCATCTAATCAAATAAAAAGTTGTTAATAGATTCAGTCAATCCATTATATTAGCAATTTAGCACGTTTTAGAAAGACAAAATGAAAAAAAAATTAAATTAAATGAGCTTTGTAAGAAGCAAGGAAATATAGGAAGTGTCGCTTTAAATTAAAAAAAAAAAATGCTCTTAATTTGAGTTCGTAGATATCATAGCCTAGTCCATTAGCCATGGCTGATATTAGTGTTAATAACCTAGTTTATTTCCTAAGTTGCATGAGAACGGGTACAAAACGGATACTGTAAAACGGCAATCTAAAAATAAAGGACACTTGTACGACATATAATAAATTTTGTTTTAATAAAATTGACAATTTTTTCAATAATTAAATCACTAAAATATATTAGTATCAAAATATCATATTACTATTATCTTTGAATAAGCGAATAAAGAATGATAAACACAACCTATACTTTCATAAATCCAAATACGAAGTATTATAAAATTTACAAACCAATCAGCACGCATAATCTACTTACACAATTTATTCATTTAGTTCTACATTGTCATTTCGTTCTCGCTCACAGATTATCATATTAACAATCACATGTAACAATGTGCCATGAAGGCACTTATATTTAACTTCTCGCTTACTTTAATTTTCTAATTAAAAAAAAGTTGAAAAGATGAAGTGGAGTGTTAAAAAGCAAAACGGACCGGACACGGTCCGTCTTGAAGTGTCTGAGTTTATAAAAAAACCGAACATGATTTTTTGGTTGTCCGAGATGTATCGTCGTGTGTCGCACACTGATACGATTAAAGTCGTGTCCGTGTCCATGTATAGCTCAAGGTATTGTTAAGAAGGTAACAACGCTTCCATGGCTTTCCAATTTGCATGTAAACTCTTTCGCACAATTAAATATTTAAATTACTATAAACTTTTAAGAATCATTTGTTTAGATACGAGTTGTTATGTCCATGATTGGTTGACATGGTCTAGGGAATCAATATACTCCGTAGTTAGTGACATACTTCTTTTAAGTTCATTTTTGGAAAATGTAGTCAAACAAAATTGAACCAGGTACAAAAACAAACAAAATGCCATATCAAAAACCAATTATGGATTTTCTTCTAAATCGTGCAAGTATGTTCTTTCGGTCCCATTAATCGTTCAATAATAAAGCTTAATATGCTGTCTTTTTGTAAACCTGCACAACATAGAGATCATCAGCCATGATTATTGTCAATTGTTCATGATTTCTTATAGAAACAAGTAACCATAATGTGAAGTACAAAAGAAACTGATTTGTCTTTCTATAAATGAGTCAAATAACAATAGTGTTATAGCCAAAGGCAAAGAATGAAGAACCACAACCGTATACTCTAGTAAATATGCATACAAATTACACTTTATACTTTGCAGGAGATGACGCCTTGAAGCTCTTTTGAAATTCATCTCCATGACATTACAAGGGGCATATTAATACGTTACACTGTATTTTATAGAGCTATGTGTTCTCTAACTTTTATGTCTGGTTCTTTTTCATCAAGCCATTAGCACAAACATGTTGATTCTCAATACATGCGCTGCTCCCTAGATGCCCACCTTTCTTCATAATCATATCGCCCAAGAGATAAGGACATGGAAGGAACCTCAGTCAATTTCAAAGGATCCGGTTCAATCCCGTAATCAGTTAGTGGTCTATTTTCAAGTACATCATCATGACCTTTCACAAATTCTGGTATCTCAACCTCACTTTTCTTTATATCATCCCAGAGGTACTGCAAGCGGCTGACATACTTAATTTTCCAATACAAGCTGAAAAACAATTCAATCTTAGTTTTATTGAAGCAAATAGCAAGCTGATGCAATTTAAATAATAGGTTGATCAACATTACACAAAACATGCCATTAAAACTACTCGTAAATTTAAATCAATCATTAAAAACAGAATAAACAAGTAAATGCAGTATATAATGTGAGCCTAGAGGATGCAAAAGAAATGCTGAGAGGAACATTTTCTTGACAAGGTATCAAGTTTAACTGCCCAAGTACTTGTGCAATTTCAAGAAATTCATTTGTCCCTGATCCCTCAAAATATGATATCAGCTCCATTTCACGAAATCTATTAGCTAAAGGCCATTCGGCATCCCTGTTGTCCAGGGCACACGACTTGCAGCAACAGTACAACCCAAAATATTCCAAAAGTTGAACAAACATAGTGTAACTCTAGTATAACTTCACTAGCATTCCTGTTAAGATAACTTGTTACTCTCTTGTTCAATTTGGCCACCAAGATCACAAGAATGAAGCCAGAGACCAAATGCTTGCACCAGATAATATATACTCTTACAAGCCAAAACCAACAAGCAGTAGGTCAATTCAAATTATATAGAAAATATTCCGTTAAAGAACAAAAATCATGGTCTGTAAATCAAATTCACAATTCAACTAGTTACCACTTGCCCTCATGCTCACAGATGAGTTGACAATATATTTCCAAGGAAACATTTAAGCCTCGATGCTTATGCATTTATGCAGTGACACAGCTAGTAAGCATTCTGGTAAAGTAAGCAAAACGAGAACAGAGTACTCACTTTCCGCTCAAGAAGAACCGTCCAAGTGTTGCAAATGCAAGCCTTGACCGAAGACCGGGGTGGAGAAAATAAACAACTTGAAGTCTATCTTTAATTTCAGCTGGGAGGTCCTCATAAATCCATCGCAAGATGGTCATTCCTGGGGAATTATCCTCCTTTTGTACTGTAGTATGCATATAAACAATTCCGAACGGCCCCTCAGGTAATTCTGTGTAGATTTTGTAGAATACATACTTCTTCAATCGTTCAGAATCAATAACTGGAGCTGAAAAAACCATTGCACACACGAGCTTGTATCAGAATACTCAAAAATAAACCAGTGGAAAAAATTCTCCACATTGTGAATTTGTGATAATCTGGTATTCTATCTACAATCCAGTGCAATCAATAATAGAAGAAAAAATGACAACCTTTCCTTAAACTTAGTTGTATTAGTTGAATTTTCATATAATAACCCCAAAACCAATTATTTACTACTAAAGATTTGTCATTGGACTAACTAAAGTACCTGAATTCATGACATATCAAGCAGTTCAACACCATAAAAAATTAAATATACTCCGTATAAGCACAAGTAAACCAATTGGCATATCATGATCCCGGGAGTATGATCTAATATCGGTCAATCATCTGTCATATTACCTTGAAGAACAGCATTACAAGGAAATAAACAGTGATTTCTGCAATGAACATTTAAACAATACCCTGGATTTCAAGCCCCCAAAAAGTTTATCCATTTCATAGACCCTAGAAATCAAGAATCATAATCATAAAACAATCAGGAACTTCACCAAATGCAATGGAAAATCATGCAATTAACAATAAATTGGATTTTTATTAAACCCTCTAAAAGTTCATTTCAATCAATACATAAACCCCAGAAATCAAAATTCATAATTAAAAAATATCAGAAACAATACTAGATGCAATGACAAATTATGCAATCAGCAAATTGAAAACCCCTAAAAAGTTCATCCCAATTCATTAACCCTAGAAATCAAAAATCATAAATTAAAAAAGAATTACCAGGGAAGTATTTTCCGACGATGCGGAAGATACGATTGCCGGATTTATCGGAGCCTTGAAGGCGGAAGAAATCACGAGCTTCGAGATCGGAGAAGTCTTCATCGGCGAAGTAGGAAGGACAATCATGCCAAGTTTCAGAGGGGTTTTCAGAGGAATCTAAGAAAGGTCGAGCGTCAACTCCTAAGTCTGAAGCTAACACAAATACTGAGAAGTCGTCTTCTTCACTTGCTGTTGAATTCTCCATTGATGAAAGAAACGAAGCTCTCTTTCTCTCTCCGCCTATTCTGTGTAAAAAACAGAAGAGTGGCTGATTGATCTAAAATCACAAATTGTGTTGTCAAGTTTGTGATTACGGACAACTCGTGCTTAACATACAAATTATGGTAATTAGACGAGCTAAGTCCTTTACTTTAATTTGATTACATAAGAATAACGATATAAGATACGGAGTAATTTTTCCTTTATTTCTTGATAATAGACGAGTATATTATCGTTTTAATTAGGTTCAATTAAGTCTAATTTTCAATTAGATTCAATAAGAAAAGAGGGAAGAATTAAGGTATAAATAATTTAAATTTTTTCTTTATACATTAGGTGGCTCTCACACGCTATACTGTGACCAAAACCAGTGGGAAAATGAGAGTCAAAACACAAGAAACTTGACTTTTTGGCCGGAATCCGTCATGAAGGTGCTAACCCACGGCAGCTGACGGCGGATTGGGTCATTTAAAAAAATTATCAATTCGAGGTATTAGAGCATCTCCAATGGTATACAAAAAGGACTTGCTTGCAAATTAATTAAAATTGCAAACATATAGCTTACCATTAGAGTGGAAAAATTGATGTAGCCTGATTAAGTAACCCGGCCTATTCAAACAAGCTACATTGCATGATTTTTCAAAAATAACATCACCCACTTAAATATATGACATGTGAATAAAAATCATTTTATTTATTTATTTTTCTTCCAAGCTACAATATGGTGCAATTAACCATTGGAGCACTTTGTAGCTACAAAAGATATTAGCTTGAATTTCTCAAAAAAAAAAATAATAAAAAAATAAAAAATAAAAAAAATTAGCTTGAATATTTGATGTGTTGTAGCTTATGATTGGAGATACTCTTAGTTGACAAAAAAAATATTAAGTAAGGTACTAGGTCACAAATTACCTAAAAAACAAGGTATTTTATGACAGTTTTGCCTACTTTTTAATCTAAATATTATAAAATCATAATTAAAGACTCAAATTATCAATCTTTCAAAGAAAAAAATAAAAAATAAAAAAAAAACATGGAAGAAGTGCATTAACAAACTAATAAGTTAAGATAATTTCAATTAAGAGATAAGTTAGTTCTAATCATATGAAAAGAACACACCCTAAGTGTTCAATTTTCAATCTACTTACAAGTCCAAAGAAAGTTACTTAGTCAATAATTAGCCCAATAATTAATTGTATTATTTTTTCCTCCGTGGATACCTATAATTTCTTCAATTTTATTCCAGCAACTGATACCAACAGTTGCTTTTTTAAAAGCTTTGGTTGCAACTTATTTTAATTTACACAAGCTATAATGTGTTATTGGTAACCATTAGAAAACTTTGTAGCTAACAGTAGTCCACGTACATTTGATTGAGATGGCAATGATGCATATACGATCTCTATCCATAAGAGAAAGTTGAGAAATCGTGATGAATAAAGCCTATATAACTTCTGTCAAAGAAAGTACAGCCCTTTGTAACCCAGAAGATTCCACCCAGCAATGTGAAAACGAGGAGAAAGATCAATGTTTGATGTTTCTTTGGCACATAAAACTTGTTTGATTTTACCAGGTTTACATGTAATTATAGGCATAAACAAAGGTTATGATAGGAAGAAAGGCTTTCAATATTAACACTCACCTAGTCACCTTGCTTCTCAACTTATACATTATACACCTTTAAGGTAAGACCTCACTGCATCAGTAAATTCGAAATTAGCAGTCTCCTATAAATATTGTAATAAACAATACAGAGTAAATCTGTAATACTACGTAACAAACTTTTAACAAATTCTTGGCACTGCAGCTACACGAAAAAAGGAGAAGAGAAACTGAGAACATGATGATCAAAATATCATCACGAGCTCAACACGTTGATATCTGATTCCAGGCAAAAAGGACCCAAAATTTTCTGGGAAAACCAAGAAGCATAGCTGCATTGAGGAGTGCTTACTCGTGCATCAGCACAAGATATCAACTTTCGTCTTGGAAAAGAAAGGATGAAGAAGGTAACAAGTTCTGGTTCTGCAATAAGTAATGAGAAAAAAGCCATCTGGAGGCCGAAATGAGCATATAATTAACTCTATCCTTTTGTACAAACAGTCTTTTCTTGGTGAAAAGGAAGTTTAGAATCAAACTTTCTCCTCAGGTCAGATCCAATATGAACTGAGCTTACATGCCAAAGTACAAAACAGTACAAGTCAATCAAGGAACAACATAACAAACAAATAACTTGAAAACTTCACAAAAGGCATACATGTATCAAGAAGGCTATACATCCAGAAGAGAGCATTGAAAGTAATACACAATTCATATTATACGTCTACAAGCAACCTGTAGGTGTATAATCATGGAAGACTTAACAATACCTAAAACATATTAATCCCTATCTTTAACTAAGTTGTTGACCATATTTATTAAAGGAAGAGTGCCTTTTGTCATTATTTCTAGCCTAGATGAGGTAGAGGCATGAGCAAAAAGAGACAATCCGAAAAAAATAAGCTCTGGAAGATATAGCCGAGAAGACAAGAATCCATGCCAATAACGTGGTTCAAGATCGAAAAATGCATCAAAAAACTTTCTTGTGCCTGGCAAATCAAGTTTGAGCAGAATATCCATGCCAAAGCAAAAGAACTCCCTTTGCCGCCTCCTCTCTATTGGCCATAAGTCTTTCCACACTCCTGCAGACAGCTCACTTCCAGCATGATTGCTTCCTGACCCAAGATACTGAACAATTGCATTGGCAATGATTGGAGCGGCTGCCAAAGTCCTTGCTACCATATACCCAGTAGAAGGATGCACCATACCAGCAGTTCCACCAATTCCCACAACTCTTTGAGGGATTACAGGAAGAGGGCCGCCCATAGGGATCACACAACGTTCATCCTCCTCAATGCACGTCACTCTTATGCCAAGGTGCCTTAATCGAGCTTCCATTCTTTGTTGAATGTCTTCCATAGGGAGTCCAGGCCGAGCAACAAGCGAGGTTTCCTCCAAGAATATCCTGTTAGAAGAAAAAGGCATAGCATATAGGAAAGTTGGAATCTTGCTATTTCTCTCTTTTAATTCCTTATTACCATCCAAGTGCGAATCTCTCCAATCCATGAATAACATCTTATCCAAATCAAAAGGGTGCCCTTCAACTTCAGCCAAAATGCCATAAGCAACTTGGTAACCAGGGTTGTATGGTTTATCATACTCAACAAGACATCGAGCAAACCCTGTTGCATCCAAAACCACAGAAGCTTGAATTCTTACCCCATCATTGCATATAATTAGAGATTTAGATTCTTCATGTATGACTTTTGTAACTTTCGCTTGATGGAATTTCACCCCATTTGTTATACATTTCTGCATCATTTTGGACTTCAACAGCTTTCTATTTACCCTTCCATACGGCCTATCAAGATTCTTCTTCAAACCCTCATCAATGTAAACAACAGCGCCCGACCAAGTAGTATCAAGGCAATCAAGCAAATCCATGGCTTCAAACTCATCTACCCAAACACCATAGTTATTAGGCCATATCAACCTTGGGCATGGATCAATCGAGCACACCGAGAGACCCGCCTCGGAAACTTGCTGAGCAACAGCAAGCCCAGCAGGGCCACCTCCTACAACTGCTAGGTCTACCACCATGCCCTTTGATGTGTCATACAACGGCAACTCAAATTCAAGGTTTTCCTTCTTAGTCTCGGGGACAAGCTCCAAAAGGGTACTACTACTTGCTCTAACAAACCCAGTTTTGCACCAATTTTTATGGGGTTTTCTATTAAAATGCTGATTTCCTTTTGAAACAGTCAAATTAGACCATTTTTCAGAAAACCCATGAATTACAGGGTTCCATAGTTCAAGCTTGGTATGAATCTTAAGCAAAGAGCCCATTTATTCTCCAATAAAATTGAAATCAATTCTCAATTGGGTACCTCCAAATCACACAAAGTTACTTTAAAATTCTCCAAAAATTGCAGAAAAGAAAATTCAACAATTACCAATCATATAAACAGATCCCCATTACATGCAAACAGATAATTGAAGCTAAAAACTGGAATAAAAGTGCAATTATGAAGAATAATTACCAACTACTGAAGATTAGAGGATGAATTTATCCTTTTTATGAGTGGAATTTGGGCGGTTGAGGAATTGCGTAGTTTTCCACCATGAGAGGGCAATGAAGGAGTAGTGTGAGGAAGTGGGTGACTCTGCACATTTTGTGGCAGAACAAGTGGATTTTATGATGTACTCTAATTGTTATCGAAAACTTAATATGTACGAGGGCCTCAGGGCCATTAAAAAATTACGGAGTATACGATGAATAACGCATACGAGTATCATACAAGTAATGTTACAAGGCTTGGTCTAGTGGAAAGAAGGGTACCGTCCAATCATTAGGTTGGAGGTTTAATCCCCGTTGATGAGTAATGACAATTTAGGGGGTGGTATTCCCTTGTCTTTCCCCCACTCTCTTAAATTGTCTAGCCCACTAACTTGGGTCGGGTTAGTGCGGGTTCCGCTTTGATATGACCCTTCATCTTACCTACAAAAAAAAAACAAAAAAAAAAATCAAGTAATTGTTATTGGTTCAGTATGCTCATTCATCTTACCTTACAAAAAAAAGGTATGTAAGGTATTATCATTCTTATAGACATTGAAAATAAGTCACTCTTTAGATTAGCTTAATTCTTAATATCCAATTAGTCGGATCAAGAAACCTTTCTTCCTTTCCTCTTTTCTTTCTCCTACAACCTTTTTCCTCCAGGGTTTTTTTTTTTTACTTGGTTTGCCTCTTCCTTTTATCTCTTCTCTCTCCTACAACCTTTCTCCTCCAGGGATTTAGTTTTCTTGACAGCTAAGGCTGGAAAACGAAATTAGACTATTTATGACCTTTTTTTTCTTTAATTTAATTCAGTTTTTTTACTTGGTTTGCCTTTTGTTTTCTTTTGATGTGCTTTATTCTATCCATTTGTGAGAATCTGTCCCTATTTATTTGGGTTTTTCCCAAATTTTTGGGATTTTGTTTCTCATTTATGAATGAGAATTTTTATTTTTAGTGTTTTGATAATAATTGGGAAGATGATTTAAATTCATATGGATTTAGGGTTTGTTATTAACTTTACAATCAAAACATTAACGCAGATTGCGAAGATTTCTACTTGGAAAAATCAATGCAAGGGAAGCTGGGAACATTTTCAAAACATGGGTCTTGTTCCACATTCGACTGCTCTTCTTGAAATTAATTTTTAAAGTAGTCCACTATTTTTGCTTACACCGCCTCTTTCTCGTGAATCCACTCCCCTTCTACTGAATCTTTAATTGCTGTAATTTTATTGCGCCGCCTAACGCCTTCTAGCAATAGTGCTCAAGTGAACGGCCGTCTCCGGCAATTCAGTGGCCTTGTTATTACTATAAAAATTGGGCCCTTAAATTTCTAAACGACTATTTTTAAAAGGCTAAAAAATTATATTATAAAATGACTTTCTTTTAATATAGTACTACGAATTGAATCATTCATATCAACATTGCTATTTAAATTATTTTCTACATAAGGTTCTTTTACAATGAACTTATCAAGAGCTCCCCTTTGAAATTGAGTCAAGTCTTCATCCGTTTCTTTTTAATTGACACGTTTCTTTAGTTACGTTTGCCAATGCACAACTTTAACTATTCATATTTTTAGTTACCGATAAAACAAAAATTATGAAAAGTTGATATTTTAAAAATATAAATCGTGACGCATCTAACAAGATCCCACATATTTTTCATTACATTTAAAGCACAAAATACAGAGGTAGTATTTCTTAATTTTAGGAGGCATAATTAAAAAAACAACAATTTATATTTGAGAAATAAAAAAATTATGCAAAAATTAAAATAACAACAAAAAAAAAGATAAATACAACCTGTTATTTGATTAACCTCTGCACTCCAGACACCATACATCCACTTAACAAGAGCAATTTTTTCCAATAACGTTTTTTCCACCTTTTGAAATGAGTAAAATTGAAAAAAAAAAAAAAAAAAAAAAAAAAAAAACTGAAGATTGTAATTTTTGTGGGTATTGCTTGATCTTGAAATTGATAGAAATAAATAAAAATTGGCCGTTGATATTAATTGAATCAACATTTTGTCTAAAAAATAGTGAAAGAATTAAGTGAATTGGAGATAATTAGGCAAATTAGCAGTTTAGGAGAGATAATTACTGAGAGAATTTAGTTTTGTTTTGGAAATTAAAAGGCAAAGTCAAAGATTTAGGATGAATTTTTGGATTTTAGTTTGGAAATGGTGCTCTTTTAGTTTTACAGGGAAGAAGGTCGAATAGGTAAGGTTGAGATTTTATTTATTTATTTATTTTTTTAATGAGTCAGCGTTTTTCTTAAAAAAAATTATGGGCCCCTGATTTATGGGAGGAAAAACCGGTCCAAAGTCGGACCTGTTCAAGTGGAAGAAAGTTGTATTACGAACTCCATCTCGTATCCATTTCACACACGATTTTGGATCCCATAATTTTGAATAAAGATAATTGTACGTATTTATGTTATACTTCATATTCAATAATTGAATTTTATTGGTTTTTTTTAAACATAAATGTGAGGATATATATAGATTATTTAACCAAGTTCAGACTAGGTAGCTTCAAATTACAAGCAAAATATGAAGGATGGTTTATTTGAGTATTTTCACTCAAACGACTACGCATCAGTGGATTTCAAGCCGAATCAGCGTAAACTCACAGATTGTATTGCTTCAGATGAAGTTATTTATTAAGGCGATTGTTAATCAAATCTACGATGTATTTAGTTTTAAGGTGTGTACTTGTGTTGAAATTCTTGATTTCTTAGGAATTATATGTAAGTGCCGTTTGACTATATTTTATTAATGAAATCTCTTTTTTTTCAAAAAAAAAAAAAAAAGTAACAAAGTAGTTTGTATCCACCAAAAAAAAAAAAAATATTTTAAGTGGGGAAAGTAGTGGTGCACTGGTGCAAAGAGTGTTATAATATGCAATCAGATTAATCACGACCACTTGATGAAATCTGTTGTGGGTCGCAGGTCTCTCACTTCACTCGTGGTTAAATACGACTATTTGACGAAGTTTGACGAGTGTTATGTTCATATGTAGTTTTGGGTGATGTTTGGTTGACAAGGGAAATGAATTTCTATAGGAAATTATATTTTATGGAAAGTAATTTCTCTTGTCTATTTTATAAGAATTAACTTAAGTTTGTTTGGTTGATAATATAGAAACTTTGATTTCCTATGTTTTATTAGTTAACTTGATAATTTTTTATTTTAAGTTAATAAATTTAGAGAGAGAAAGAAAGAGATTAAATTATTAGTGATAATAAATGCAAGTAGGCTCTACAATAATCATAGGAATTGTGACTTACCAAGGGGAGCTTGGTAAGTTATTTCCCATGTTTCATGGAAAGTGAACCTTCCCTTGGAATTTCTATTTCCCCCACTTTGATATACTTGTGTCAACCAAACAACACATGATTTTTCTATTTCTTAGGAAATAGAATTTCCCATGTTATTTACCTCCAACCAAACAACACCTAGGTATATATATATATATATATTTCCTTTCTAGTTTATTTTAGAGCATTTGGATGCACGTCATGCCCTTTTTACAATATGTGTCAAAAACTGAATCAACCTACCTGATCAAATTTAGATTTTGATTTGTATAATGATTGACACAATAATTTATCACGACTTAAATTTAAATTTAATCTGACCTAACTCGATTTCACTTCATCGTACCTAACCCGTGCACCCGAACTGACACCTCTAATATTTACTCAAATTATGTTCTACTACTTGTTTATATATGTGTGTGTGTTTTTTTTAATGTCAAATCAATTTAGAAGAAATATGATTGGCATAGAGAAATGACTTGACTAAGATATATTTTTGCAGCTTTGCACGGTATGAGGATCAATATTGTAGACTTGATATACTTGGTTTTCCTTTCCCTTTTTTTTTTTTTTTTTTTTTTGAGACGGGAATATACTTGGTTTTTAATTCAGGCTTGTTATTTTCCTAAAAAAAAAAAAAAAAAAAAAAATCAGGCTTGTTCTTGTGGTTAGGGTCTTTTGATTTTATCTTATATTATTTTATCTTATCTTAAAAAAAAAAAAAAAAAATACCTAGTAATATACGAGTAAACTGATCAACATGGATTTTACTCTCTTTAATCCAACATCCCAGCATTGGTGACTTAGTGTATTGGCAGGGCAATTCGAAGGGTAAATTCACTATCAAGTCTGCTCTTAGAATCATGAAACAAGAAACAAAAGTACTTGATGAGGAATGTTGGGATGCTGTCTGGACTGCTCTAGTACAACAGCGCATTCGTGCGTTTCTCTGGTTTGTGTGTCATGATCGTATTCTCTGCAATCTTAATCGTTACAAAAGACGGCTCACTGATGACCCAAAATGCTTCTTCTGTGGAGCAAATGAGGAGAGCTCTCTTCATGTTTTGAGAGACTGAGCATATTTGGTTATACATTAAGATAATTACTAAGTGTTAAATGAATAAAGTAAGACAACTTCTTGTATAAGAAAGACAGTTTATTAGGGGAGGACATGAGTTTAATGGAGCAACAACTATAGTCAATGAGGCTAAGAAGTAAGAACCAGTAGAATCTGTGGGGGTATTTGTGAGACACAAAAAAATTTCAAATTTGCAACTAATATGTAACAGAGGAAATATACTCTTTTTATATAAAAAAAATGCAGAAGGGAGAAAGTGCTTTAATGGAGGAGAGGGAAGGGAGAATGTGAGAAAGGAGCTGAAATCAGAAGGATGGAGTGGGAGAGAGGAAAAGTGGTAGAGAGAAATGAAAAGCTGCAATAAGAGGTGTCCATTATTCGGACAAAATCCGAAATCCAATCCCTTAAAACTAGTTAATTTTGATAATTATGTCTTGTAAATGAAGTTTGAATGCTGAAATTAAACGAAATGGCTGAATTAGAATCTAATCTGATGTTCATTTTTCATTTTAACTTGGATTTGAATTAGTGATGAAAGCAAGTATTTTGAGGAGGAAGAAAGTAATGCTCTCGTCTTTATTTTTGTAAAAAATCGCAAAACAAACCCTACTAGAGTAATTAAAGACCGGTGCATTCTAAACAGGTTATTCTGGTCAGTCTCCAATCCCAAAGGATCAGGAATTCCAGTCCCAATCCATTGTGGTTCCGATCCGATTACAGATTTGTGCACAATGCTACATTATAGAACAAGCATCAATCATGTAGCATTTGGTTCTATTGTACTCTGTAGAAATTTTTTCACCAACTCGTATCATTTCAAAGCTTCACATTTCAAAACACAATATAATTTGCTTCTCCTTGCAACTTTCTAAGAGATTATATGAACTTCAATAATGTAGACCTCTACCAAAGAGACTAAGCAAATTTCTATAACATTGTTGGAGTCCCTAGATCCACTAGCTGCATCTCTAAAGAATATTATAGATGTATCCATGATGAAGTTAGCTCTGTGAAAGTTCGTGACCACGTTTTGCAGCTGCCACCACAGCATTAATCAAGGTGCCACGAAATCCACCTTTCTCCAACTCATGAATACCAGCAATTGTAGTGCCTCCAGGTGATGCAACATCGTCTTTGAGCTGAGCAGGATGTTTCCCACTGTTAACAGCCATGGATGCTGCTCCGAGAACCTGCAAGATAACCATCGAACCTGGTCACATATATAAGTTATAACAGAAATAATAAGAAAATGCAATAGTGAAAAATAAAGAATCTTGCTATTCCTGGTGATCCTCCCCATTCCTTTTCCTACACCAAAAGTTTAAGGGATTTTGTTCAGTGATAATTTCATCAGCCTGCCTGAGGTTCCATCAGTTGTCAACATTCGCTGCTGATTTCTCTGTTTTGATATTTTTGATGCCCAAATCACAAACTTATCCCAGTATGGAAAATCACAGATGTGTGAATGGGCTTTATGGCAATCCCTTGATGAGTAGACTTTCAATTACACCTGAGGTGCCAATCAGTGTCACTTTTGTGCTTGTAGCACCTTCTACATGCATCTAAAGGATGATGCACAGCATTTCCATCCATCGTAATAAGATTTATGGTAGATAACATCCACATGTAACAATATTACTATGTACACTACAAGGAGAATGGATATTAAAAGGTGCAGCTTGCAATCTAAGGGAAAGTGGACAGTCCAGTGTTCACATATAACTATCCAAAGTGGAACAAAGCAATACTATGAAAAGAGCACAAGAGAACAGTAACTAAACCAGAAACATAAAACTTGGGGTACAAATTGACTAAAACGAAAACATTACTCTTGTAGTTCTGGTACAAATTGAATAAAAAACTACACAAGATTCAGTAAAATCACAATGCAGACACTGTTAATGAAACATCGACACCAATTTACATAACAAGGTCAAGGAATTGCAGAAAAAAGGAATGAAACTTACAGTTTGAGCAGCTAAACCCTTAGCAAGTTCTCGTGGCAGACCTGCAGCAACTCCTCCATCAGCCAAGGCTTCAATAGCCAAGAATATATATGCTGGCCCACTTCCACTACACATATCAGGAACAATTAATTTCAGTTAGTAGAGATTTGATCTGATGCACCTTTATCTATTATAGATATAAAAACATTAACACAAGCCGTCATGATATTAATGGGATGCATTGGTAAGTCATAAGGTTCAATACTTCTTATATACCTGAGGCCAGTAATTGCATCAAACAATTTTTCATTAGCTCTCCAAGCCTTGCCAACTGCTCCAAATAATCTTTCTATAAGCTCACCATCCTCTTCAGTTGCTGTCCCTCCCAAACTTATCACTACAACATTGTCAGCATATATCAAAAAAAGATCAGAAGCAATCATGCACAATAGCATAGGGCAAGAGAAAACAAACCAAAGATGGCCTCAGGAATCAGACTACTTTTATAAAATTGGACTTTCCAATTTTGCAAACAAATAGTAGCAAAGAGCTTAAAATGGATTTGTTTTAGCCCACCCACAAGCCAGTTACCCCACATAAGAGGAAAGGAGAGACAATGACAATCTTAAAAACAAAATAAGTTATTTATTGCTCACTGATTTTAGATGGAACTTGGGCAAATAAGTGATTAGCTCTTCTCCTTAATATCAGTGGTCCAGACCCACTTTTAATCCAACAGAATCAGATTTACCAATTAAGAAAAAACCATTAAGCTGGGTTCCTTAGGTCAAATTGGTAGGTAGTGATTGATTCAGATAGCTTGGCAGATCAACTCACAATTTTTAATTCCTTGCATTATTAATGAAATATGATTGGGCTGTGACTAATTTGTAATGCCTAGCTGTCTATATTTAGGGGTTCAACCCACACCCAAAAAAAAAAAAACAAAAAAAAAAAAACAAAAAAAAACACAAAGATAGGAAAATACACATCCCTGAACTATTCTTTATACGAAAAGATTGTCACAATATCAATTGAGAAGTGCTCAGTAGATCAACCATCAAGGATCAATAGGTTGAGTCTTAAGACTACAGAGCTGAGGTGTGAATCCCATTTACTGTTTCCAAAAGGACGCTTAAGGAGGTTCATCAGTCCATCAACTTTTTACTTAAAAAAAAAGCAACTATAATACCTTGGAAGTTTGAGCGAGGAATATTAAGTCAACAAATTATAATGTTGTTAACATTAAACAATGTGCAGTGCGTCAAAAAAAAAACAATGTGCAGGTGCCAATCAGCCACTGAACTTAGATGAGTCACCTTACCCATTTTACTTCCTATCTGTCCTAGATAGTTTACCTTTTCTTTGATACTATGAATCCAACATGGCCACAAATAAATGAAATACAAGCAGTCTAATTTACTAATTTAGAGCAGGTCCTCCGCTAATCAATAGACTAGGTTTTAAAGTAAGTGTCCGTTAAACTTGAATATGATTTGTCACTTAATATCATATTCAAGTTTAACGGACATTTAATAATGATGCAATATCCAAAAAACACTATTTTTGTAATAGAGGAAATAATAGTTTTACATTTCAAGATTATATATGAAAGTATCACTTTTTTTGTTACTATGAAATTTCCATAGGTTCACAATGTACTATTCAGCAATCAGTAAAAAAACGAGTGTATGATGTTGACGCATTGAGTATGAAGGCCACAAGGCACACAATCTAACAAAGTTTGACCATCACTCTGGAAATTATTGAAAAAGTAATCATGAGTTTCAAATGTAGCGGAATAATACTATTAAAAGATGGAAACAAACCTGATGCTGCCATTTCCACAGCAGCAGGAGTATTAGGCATTACCCTAATAAAACGGCTCTGTCCGGCCCATTCCTAGCAACAACGCAACAACAAACAGATTAACAAGTGCCAAAGCACAATGCAATGGTTTAACAGAATACGATCAGAAATATTTTAAACAGACTGCATGTTTCTTCTACTTTCCCCACGTCTTGATTTTTTGGTTGAACATGTGAGATTGTAATTGTATAAGATCACTTATAGCCAAAATAAGCTACGTAGAAAATCAATTTACAACAGTCCAAAGAAAGGATATGTATTATTTATTAAGAGCCTAACATATCGATTTTTTCCACTGCCAAATACCTGTAAATCCTTCAATTTTGTTCCAGCAACCACTGATACTAGCAGCTGCTTCTCTGTAAGCTTTGGTCTCAACTGTAACACCACATCCTTGACTGCACCACATAACAATAGATGACGAGGTTAAATTACAAAGTCTTCTTCAAATAAATGATATCAATGCAGAACTCAGCAAAGCAATACAAAATATGCAGATTACATACAACTCCCTCCGTCCCATTTATATTAAAAGAAGAAAAAAAAAATCCTTTAATTTCAAAGTCCCATTACACTGGCAAATTTACAATTTTTACTTTTATTTTGCATTCTTCAACCATGTTAGACAAGCCAAATGTACTATTATTTCCAAATGTTACCGGATTTGATGAGGACGGAGGAAGTATTAAACTCAAACGAACAATCTACAAATTTACAATCTTCAACAACAAAAAAAAAAAAGCTCAAAAATATGATTCATTAGAGAATGTAGTAAGAGTACCAATTTGAGGTTTTACAGAGAAAATAACCACGTCACATTCTTCAACAACCTGTAGATACCACACATTTACTCTTCTCAATAATAATGATAAGAACCGATTCGTATAACTAAAAACACTACGTCAGCATACTCCGAAACCAATCATATGAAAAATTTCCAACAAAATTCATCAATTCTCATCTAGTATAATTCAAATGCGCTAGCATAGTCAATCCAAATTAATCGATAAACATAGTATATAATAATAATCGAGCATGTAAAATGGAAATCAATTCTACAAATTCAGGCACCAATGCAATGAAATTCAAAACCAATTCATACAAAATATAAGGAAATTGATGATAATTCATAGGAAAAAAAGAAATTAATCGTGAATATTAGTAGAAACCTGGCGATTTTGATCGACGACGGAGACGCCGAAAGACTGAAAAGCCTCGCGACGTTGGGCGCCGAGATGGGCGGTAAAAATCCGGGAAGGAGGCAAAACGCCGGAGTTGACGACACCTCTGGCAATGCTTTCCGCCATTTTTCCAGCTCCGATGAAACCTAGCTTGAATGTGTCACTTGGAATTGGTGTTGTCGCCATTGTTGATCCTTTCTGCTATCTCTCCTATTTGGTCTCTACTTCTGATGATAGGCCTGATAGCAGTAGGGTTCAACACTTAAAACTGAATACTGATTACCCACGCAAAAATAACAACGGAGTACTCTAAAATCTTGATTGCAATATACATATACGGAAACCGTATTTTTACGTGTCAATTCAAGTAATTGGGTCGGGTTTAATGAGGTCGGATTAGGTCTCTATCAAAGTTGAGTCATGCTAAATTATTGAGTTCATACAAGTTGAAATTCTAATCGATTTTTTTTGGGTCGGATCAGATCGAGTCGGTCGGGTTTATTTTTGACACCTTTAGGACCATATATATCCAAATTCCAAAGTGCATCATGCTGTATACACATTAATACACAACTTTAATAGAGTATTAGTTTAACTGACAAGAATTTGATATTATTATTGTCAAAAAGAGGAGTAGCCTACTTGGATTATAAAAGTGAAAACTCTTTGTTTTATCTTTTGATATTTCACTATGTTAACTTTTAGTCTTTCACGTTATTCATCCACTCATTATTGGTTATCTGTTGTGATTACAGGTGAAGTATCCAGTGAAATCTTGATAGATTAGTCTTGATTCATTCTTGTGAATAATGAAAGGAAAGCTCACCCAATTAGAGAGCCCAGACACTTACATTAATTGTTACACAATTACATTAATAGCCCTAGGATTACACTATTAATACTTTCTCAAGACTTCAACTTTTTAAACATGTTGATAGTCAAAGTTGCGCGTTCAAAAGCATGAAACTCTTTTTTTTTTTTTTTTGAAAGGGATAATATCATTAAATAATAAAAGACATGCAACACTTACAATCGGCCCTAACCAGATCTAAAAACTCGATACAAGTGACAAACACCTCTAAACTAATGGCACTGCTTCTGAACTGCTCCTTGGTAAACATAGATGACTTTGCATCTTTTTTGACGGAGCTCCGTTGGTGTATAACCGCGAGAGTGATAACACTTGAAGGTCCGCAAAGTTGAAGAAATTGCAAGACATAATTTTTAAACCTAGAACCCTATACCAACCTAAACCTAAGAGGACAAACATTGATGGAAGATGATGCGAGAAGAACACTACTACTTCAGAACTTGATTGCCATGCTACGCTAGGCGAGAACTTGCATTATTCGCCACTACGATCATCCCAAGGACCAAACAAACAACGCACGTAAGTCCATAGTATGATACAATATTTGTAGAATAAAGCCATAGATGATAGAGAAAGCATCACGTAAGTCCAAAAACTAGCATCTTATGATTCTTATCTCGTGAGTGTTACGCATTCACCAATCCTCTAAGACGTGTCGATTTTTGCTATCATGTTCACGACTATACTTGATAAAAAAAAAAAAAAAACATCATGGATGACGTTTAACGGCCAAGTTTAGAAAGGAAAAGTTGGAAACGCTTTTTCTTCCTCAATCTTAATATCTCATCAATCCCTATTAATTTCTATAATTAGATCAATCATCGAGAGAAAGCATTAAAATAAGAGAGAATAAAACAAAAGTATGGCAGATTTGTTTATAAAGCAGGCAGAACAATATGCAAATGCGAGGCCAACATACTCAACGGATCTCTTTGAATTCATTGCCTCGAAAACTCCATCTCATGATCTTGTTTGGGATGTTGGCACTGGCAGCGGTCAAGCCATTCCCCCTGTTAGTTCTTTTCCTCTTTTTCATGCTTCAATTTTTTTTAATCATGTGTTTATTCAATCAATTGGATGAAGTTATTCATTCAAATTAACATTCAATGATTATAATCAGTTTTTGATTAAGATATGGACTCATTGATTAAAACCGATTTTTATAAAGTCAATACAAATTACAATTTGGGGTTGGGAGAATTGAGATATGACTTATCGTACACAATACTTTGTAGAACCTTATCGATTTGTGTGGTAATTTGCACATCGTGTTGAGTTGTTGACAACTAAAAGTGATTAGTAAATTTCATTTCTTGGGAAAGTGTACTCAATTTATAATTCGTTACCTTTTTCAATCGTTTTCTTAAAAATTCCGATAATTTCCTAAATGATTTTTAAACCAAACATAGTTAAGTCAATTCATTCATTTAATGTACACGTTTTGAGGCATCTTTCATTCGGAAGAAACTTGAGGCCTAATTAATGATCTATACACAATTTTTTTTTTCAGCTAGCAAAGATCTACGAGAATGTGATAGGTACAGACACAAGCCAAAAACAGCTAGAGTTTGCACCAAAACTTCCGAATGTGAAGTACCAACATACTTCTCCTACTATGTCTATTGAAGAACTCCAACAAAATGTTGCATCTCAATCAACCTTAGACTTGGTCACAATAGCACAAGCAATGCATTGGTTTGACCTCCCCATATTCTTTGACTTGGTGAAATGGGCCTTGAAAAAGCCCAATGGGGTCATTGCGGCCTGGTGCTACACTGTTCCTGAGATCAACGATGAAGTGGACGCGGTCTTTGGGCCATTTTACAAAGATAATTCGGGTCCATATTGGGAGGAAGCCCGAAAGCTCGTGGATAATAAGTATATGGATATTGATTTCCCGTTTGAGCCGATTAATGGGCTGGATCATACGGGTCCATTTGAGTTCAAGGCTGAGAAGGTGATGACTTTGGAAGATTTTATGATGTATATTAGGTCTTGGTCTGCCTATAATACTGCTAAGGAGAAAGGTGTGGAATTGTTAACAGATGAAGTCATGGAGAAATTCAAGCATGCTTGGAGTAAAGGCGATGGAGCGAACGAAAAAGTTCTGAAATTTCCAATTTATTTGAGGATTGGCAAAGTCGGGAATCTTGATCAGTAAAGAATGATTGGGAAAAATGATCGGAGTGAGTAATATTTTATTATGTACTCTAATAAAAACTTAACTTCTCATATAAGAATTTTCCTTTTATGTAGTTACGAGTTTTTTTAATAAGTATTGAAGCGTTAATTTTTGTTCCGTTACTTATAAGTGGACAATCTATGGTATATAAAAATAGAAGTGGACAATGGTGTTAGTACACTTATAAGTTGCAACTAGCATAGTACAGTATACAGTCTAGTGGTGTTAGTTGCAACTACCACACTTAAAAATAGATTATCAGATTGATCACCATGTTTCTGTCAGTGATTAGGTGCACAGATCATTCAACAGAAAGCTTCAAAAGACAATAGAGGTCGAAATAGCGAAGAAAAACATCAATTAATTGACAAAAGAGATAAACTTCAGTAGCTCATAAGTAAATACTTACGTATATACAATATGGAAAACTAAATTGTTCTAAGAATATATACTGTGCAATATAACCTTATAATAAGGTAAAATTATTTAAGTAAAAATGTCTACGCCTAATAACCTAAGACATAATTGTATATAAGCTAAAAAGTGTCTTGAAATCTTCGTAATCAAATCAAATTCCTTAAAGATTGAACATGACTTTGATTGCATTACCACCACGAGCACTGGTCTCAAATGCTCGCACCACCTCCTCTTGGGTGAATCCAAACCTATGAGTTATAAGAGGCTTCACATCAATTTTTCCGCTACTCAAAAACTCCAAGCATTGTGGCCAAGTGTTCTTGTACCGGAAAACACCCAATACATCTACCTCCCTGTAACGTTACAATAAACAAAATCGATCAATTAGTAAACACACAATATATTTTGTTACAATGTCAATACGATGTTACAATGCGTGTGAAAAAAAACATCTAAGAACGTTTACCTTGAGGCAGCCGGGGTTAAAGGAACAGTCATGATACAGTGACCCATCCCAATTAGGCAAACTTTGCCTCCGTTTCGAGTAGCACCCAAAGCAGTTGATACAGTTTTATCAAAACCGGCGCAATCAAGGGTAACATCTATGTCTTTTCCCATAGCTTTCTTAATTTTCTCAACCTCTACAGCCACATCCTACAAAATTAAACACGTAACACAATTTTTACTAAATTTTAAGTGCCTCTAGAAACATATATAATAATACTTGCATTTTAATTAAAGATATTAATCGTTAAAGATAGATCTCGGGAATTGAAAGCCAACAAACCTCCTTGTTGGTGGAAACTTGGACAACAGAATAAGCACCAAGACTCTTAGCAACAGAAAGACGGTGTTCATCTACATCAGCCACCACAATCCTTGGGGCTCCAAAGGCCTTGGCTGACAGCAGAGTAACAAGACCAATAGGTCCTGCTCCAATAATCAAAACTGTAGACTCAGCCCCAACCTTAGCGCGACGACATCCGTAAACACCAACACTTAGAGGCTCACACATTGCTCCTTCTTCCAAACTTACATTATCAGGTAGTTTAAAGCATAAAGTTGCAGGGTGCACAATCTACATGTAACAAAATAATTAAAAACACATTAAACCTTAATACCTTATAGTATAATATAAGGTAGGATTATGTAACAATATAAAACTATTTTAGAAAATTAAATTATAGTTGATTAATTACCTGATTTGCAAGAGATCCATGAATAGGGGGAGTTGCAAAGAACTTCATATCAGGGCAAAGATTGTAGCTTCCTTCCTTGCAGCGGTTACACCTCCAACAGCCGATTCCCGGCTCGAGTGCTACCCGATCACCGGGAGCTAGGCCTGTCACCTCGCTACCGACTTCTTCAATGCTACCAGCACATTCATGGCCTATTACCATCGGTTCTTTGACGTGGTAATCGCCACAACTCATTGTCTAGTATTCCATAACAAACATAACATATGTTTAGTTTTACATACGTATAAAAACAATTAGTAACGTGACAATTAAATCGAGATTACTGTAAAATTACCTTCAAGTAGTGAACATCACTACCACAAATTCCAACAGCCTTCATCCGAACCCTTACATCATTAGGCCCTAAACAAGATTACAAGTGTTATTAGTATCTAATCTATAGAAACCCATCAAAAGTTCCAAAAAATATACGAAAACTCGAAAATTTGATTACCAAGATTAGGAAGTTTGAAAGGTTGAATTTTGAGATTATTAACTCCAAGAAGCCATGCTGCCATGTTTTCAGAAGAATCAGCAACATCATTAGCGTTTCCACCTTTTCCCATTGTTAATTTTATTTTTTTTTCTTATGAAAATACTCGAGAATATTAATCAATATGAATGCTTCTAAATTATTGTGATGGTTGAGAAGGGGTGATGGTACGTTGTTTATATAGAAGATCGATATGAGAATAAATTAATTCTTAAAATTAGTGGATAAAAAATTAGATGACTAGACTAGATATTATCCTATCTAGAAATTTACCGTTTTAAGAGAATATTTGACCGGAGGATAAATTGGTTTAAAATTCATCTTTTTCCAAAAACTAAAAGTTATCTTAGTAGATGATATACAACGATGGATATCTACTTTTTTTGAAAGGACGATGGATATCTACTTATACTTTGCTATTGCTATATTTTTTTTATTAAAAAATAAAATTTTTAAGTTGCAAAGTATTAGTTTTTCATAAGTTTTAGTTGTATGTAAATACTTAAAATCTATTATTTCTCAAAAATAAGACCCTAGTCTATAATGCTAAAAAAAAAATCTTATTCTTTTATTTGTAAGCGTTTTTTAAATCAATTTAAACTCTTCTAAAATTTTATATTATGACAAATATAATATCTAGCTAATTAAGTACGAAAGATCAGATGGATAAGATAAGAATATTCCACATGAGATTATACGTAGTAAGATATTACTCCGTATGTATATAAATCTAATCTATTTTTGCATGATACGAGTAATTAGGAATTCTTAAGGATTCTTCTCTGAAATGTACAAGGATATATTTTGTGATTTTATCATATTCTAATTAATACAACCTTATCTAAATTTATTAAGATAATGAAATTCAATATTTCATAAAAATTTGTTAGGCTTATATAAAGTATTTTATCTGAAGTTAACATCTATGAACTTATCCAAATTCATTTCACCTTCTAAGTTGAGATCCTATATCACTGATTGATTGTGGCGTAAGCCAATGAATTGTTTTTATAAAGAAAGAATTATCCTTATACTATTATTGGATTGTAATAAGTGTTAAGAAATAATTAAGGAAATGAAAGATTAGGGACGTGATTACACTGTCCTTAAAGCAATTTTTAACCCCCACTATGATTGCTATGGGTTACCGGTTAATATGCTTCCAAGATTTTCCCTAAGTTCGAGATCACTTAAAGCAATGTAATTGAACTCCCTAAAAACACTTTAAGAACAATTAGAATAGAAAAGGAAGAAGAAGATAAAGTAAAATAAGTTATAAATCTTTGGAGCAATATATTATAAACATCCTTATTGTCCAAGAGTCATCATTTCCAAAAAAATAATTAATTAAGATAATCTAATTTTTAATAAAAAATCACTATTATCAAAATAATTAATTATGATGATCTGACTTCTAATGAAAAGCCACTATTATCAAAATAATTAATTAAGATAATCTGACTTTTAATGAAAAGTCACTATTATCCTAATCAATCTAACCGTTGGAAAGTTACCATTCACACGGGCCCGATCGGGCCAAACCCGCCCGGTCGGACAAATAAACGGACAAAACTTTAACTAGGCTCGCGCCCGATCGGGCGGGCTTGCCCGATCGGGCCTATGGTCATAAACCATGGTACACGCTAAAATTTTGTTATGCTCCAAAATTAAACTTATAGACTAGCTCCAACCTAAACTTCACTATTTAACCAATGTGGGAGTTTCTCCCACATATGAAGTTAAATAGAATAGAATAACTTATAGACTAGCTTCAAGCTGAACTTTTCTATTCAACCAATGTGGGAGTTTCTTCCCAACATCATGTTAAATAAAATAGAGTAAGCTATTATCCTCTATTCAACTAATGTGGGAGTTTCTTCCAAACATCAACTTAAATAGAATTGAACAAGCTAACTTCTTCTATTCTACCAATGTGGGACTTCCATCCAACATTTAGTTATAAAGACTAACCTATATAACCAATTTCTATTCTACCAATGTGGGACTAATTTCCCATCATTCACAAAACCTATTATGAAGACTACTCTAACAATAAGGGGCCGTTTGGTTGGGGGGGATTTATCAAAGGGAATGAGAATCAACAGGAGTCATTCCCTTTGTTGTTGTTTGTTAGGCCATTTTTCCCATTCCCTTTACCCTCTCCATTCCCTCAAATTCCTCCAAGTTGATTCCCCACCCCCCTAGGTATTTCCATTCCATTCCCTAGCTACCACCACCCTCCCCACCACCGGAACAACTAGCCACCCCACCGAAACCCCTCCCCTCACCCTCGTCGTCCCTCCTCCACCCCTGGAACAACCAGGCACCCCAGCGAAAACCTCCCCACCGCCCGAACAACTAGCCACCACCGCACCACACTCCCCACCACCAAAATAGCTAGCCACCCCACCGATCGAAACCCCTCGCCTCACCCTCGCCCACCACTAAAAACCCCCGTCTTACCCTCGAAACCCCTTGCCTCGCCTTACCACCAAAACCCCTCTCCTTACCCTCGCCCACCACCGAAACCACCAAAACCACACCATGTTTCTAGGGTTTTGCGAGGTTAGGGGAGGTTTTTTAGGGGAGGGGAGAGATGTGTGGGCACGGGGAGCAGCGACAGGGGGCAGGGGAGGTGTGGCGAGTGGTGGGGGAGGTGCGTCGAGTGGTGGGGTGGTTGGGTGGTGGCTGAAAATGGTGGGAAGTGAAGTAGTTAGGTAGTTATGTGGTGGTGGTGTGGTGTGGTGGTTGGATTGGTGGCAGTGTCTCCCTTTGTTTTTAAAACAAACAACATAGAACATTTAATGTCTCCTTCTTATTAGATGATTACTGGGAGGTGATTAGCGGTTCACTAAATGGATTTATCATATCTTATGAATGACTCTTATACTACCTCCATTTCATATTATTTGTAATGATTAGACATTTTTTATGAGGATAATACAATAATTAAAATAGAGGTCATCTTGAGCTGGCAGGCAATGCCAAAAAAGGCACATATATACCATCAAGGAGTGTAAAATTTTCGTTTCAGGCCACAATTTGCACCAAATTTTTTACACTTTGGACTTTTTAAATCCCAAATTTTAATTAGGTCTAGTTAGCTTGAAAATTATGCCCAGATTTATTTCCCTACTTTCTTAAAAGTTTAACCAAACACTTATAAATAATGTTATGTCAATTATATTATATTCCTAAAAATGTTTATTTATTTATATACTCCCATTTATGTGGAGAAAATAAAAGTTTCTCGGCATAAGAAACATTGTATGTTTCTTAAGGGACATTTTGGTCTTTTTGGTAAAAAAAATATCCACTGCTCTCGACTTTTCTCTCCTCAACCATGGACTTTGAGCAGTTTCCAACCATGAAAATCAAATATTTCTTCAACTATGAACAATGACAAAACCCTACCATTTGGGGTTAACCATACCCTTAATTTATATATTTTTCTTTGGGTTTTTCGTTAAATTCGACGACAAAGCCTCTGAAAATGGTGGTGTTATTGTTGGGGTTTGTTGTAGTGTTGGTGGTGTCGGGGATGGTGTGCGTTATGGTGATGGGGTTCGTCTACCATAGATGATTCGAAAGGTTGATGAAGGAATGAGGAAAATGGAAGGAGGAGGAAGAAGATGAGTAAAAAAAAAAAAGTAAAATATTAAAAGTTTGCCATTTTTTACAATATTTGTCATTTGAGATTTGAGAAACTGGGGCAAGCCCATTTATGTATGCAAATTATATGTGTGGCATTTTTTTTCCTTTTTTTACAATATTTGTCATTTGAGATTTGAGAAACTACGTTTTTTTTTGCTTGCATCAAATCTACGTAGGTAGTATCTACAAGAATTTTTCAAAAATTAAAGTGCTATGTGCCTCTTTAAAAACTCGGAAAAAAACTTCCTTTATATATATATATATATATATATATATATATATATATATATATATATATATATAATTAATATCATAATGTTAAGAAAATGCCAAGATGAAGTTCACATGAACTTGTAGCAAGATAACTTGTAGCTCATCACATGAACATATTATGGACAATAATTTGTATAAAAGTACAATCATGTAAAATATTTTAATGGCAATATTTGCCTATAAATAAGTTCACTATCTTGTGAACTATGGGAGTAAGAAGAAAATAACAACCGACTCTTTTAATTGTTCTTTTGCTCTCTTCTATCTCCATCTTCATAAATATACAATATCATCCTATAATTAGAAAGTCACCTTTTAATACGTTATCAGCACCAATTCCTAATCAGTTATATTTATACCTACTTCTCAAAATTATAACAAATAAAAACTATCTACTTCTAAATGTTTTGAGGAATATGCTCTATATTTGCCCATATTTTTGGGATCCTCTATACCAGAAACTCAAACATTTACTGTATCATATATCACAAAAAAAAAAAAAAAAAAAAAAAAACCACTACGGTGAAAAATTCTCTTACTTATGAATTTCATTACTATCCTCCCTTGTTTTATTTATGTTGGTATCTTGATTTTTTTTGTTTGATTCATGCATGTTGATATTACATACTCACCTTTTATGTAAAATTTAATTTTAGTTATTATAATTGCTTAGTAGTAACTTTGCATACATATTATTAACTAAATTGACAAAAAGATGCAGCCTATTTATATTTATTATTTTTCTTTCTTTTACGTACTTTATTTTTGTGTTTCTTTCAGTTTTCAAACCCATGATCTTTTATAGATATTAGGGCTCTCGGATCACTATTGCTTGCATTCCCAGTGTGATAACCTTTTACAATTATAAATACTTATATTTGGACCATATTTTTGCCAGTACATTAAACTATATATATATATGATATTTTTACAATTGTACAAAACAGTAACAGATAAACCTACCTTTATAAAAGGTAGATTTTCCCAGATTTCCACCACAAATCCCTTATCCTTTCCCATTTTTTTACTTTATCCAAAAATCACCCAAAAAAAAAAATTCACTCCTTCTTCTCCAATATGTTCCCCGACGGCAACCAAAACACCCACACCTTCACCTTTGAGGAAGATTTAAGAAAGATAAAACAATATTTTCTTCTAATTATGACGCTTGTAGTTCTGTTATTAGCAATATTAATTTTTGTCATGATGTACAAGTGAAGTTTGTTTATTTTGTCGTTTTAGTAGATTAAAAGTATGTTTTTGTTTTATTATGTTGTTTTGTTGTTATTAA